CTCCAAAGCAGCCTCAACAACCCCTGCCAAAACAGCCCTTACCAAAAGCAATTCATACTCCTACAAAGAAAGTATCAGAAAGTGTAGATAATACCGGTAATGAAACATCAAATAGAGAAGAAGGAAAACCTCCAATTGTTTTAAGAATATGTAAGGGTACTGCAAGATTAGTATGCGGAGATGTGCAAAATAATCAAGATCAAGAACCTGAAACTTACAGAATTTCTACACCTCTTACTAGTCCCTCTAAAATAGATATTGAACGTAAAAGTAATACAGAATCATCAATCAAAACAGATCTTAAGACAACTCGTTCTCAGCAACCAATTGTATCGACAGTATCAATACCATTAGAAAATTCTGATATGCGACGAACAACTCGTAGTCGTGCAAAAAATTTACATCTAGACATAACAGGTTCTTCTGGTGTTACTACAGCGTCAACTACTTCAAATACGCATAGTTCTGGACTCTCCTTAACTCTCAGAAAATCCGTTACGGATTCCAATAACACTCTTATATCTCATTATGATATTGTTAAGACTGATTGTAGTTCAACGTATCCATGTAAACCAACGATAGAACCTTTAATTGGACGAGACCAACCACTGCCTACCACAACTCAAGAACTTATTGATATTCTTTCGAGTGATGCAGATCCTATGCAAACAAGACCAATGATTTTAAATGTCCCTGAAGCTGAAGATAATTCGGAAATTACATCAGATGAGGTTCAACATTGTTCTATAGATATCCCTACAAATGAAGTGATACCTGAAACTAATAGACAACCAGAGAAAGAAGCAGAAGCAGAAGTAGAACAAGAATTAGAACCAGAAGGTGAAACTGAGGTGGAACCTGATCCTGAAACAGAATTGGAATCGTCAGCTCATGCAGCTGATTCTGAAACTGCAGCAGCTAAGACATTAGTGGATCAGGATTGGTTTTCAGGTAGCGATGATAGTGAAGGTGTGAGTGGCAATGTTGAAAATGAAATGCCTTTGCATGTAACAAGTACAGTTTCAGAATCACAAACCATAAATGCTCCTACAACAAATGTACCATCTAAGCCTGTTACTAAAAAGGGTAGCATATTTAAGAGTCGTTCAACAGGGACAACAAATGGAAATAAAAGACGTGCATTGTATAAACACAAGTGGTGTGATAGTGATAAAGAATCTAGTACGACAGATACTCCTAATATTGGGAATGTAATTCCAAATATAGCTTCAGGATCACATAGTACAACTGGATCTGATGCATATGCAGGAGAATTTGAGACTTCTCAACTTACAAGAGTTGTGACTTATCCTGAAACTGATGTAGACTTTACAGATGACTCTGAAGCTGTTACAAGTGTTCGTTGTTGCAGGAAAGTTAAAGGTGTAAGTATATATTATACAAATACTCAAAGCCATATATATATATTATATCAAAATGATAAGACTCATTGATATTAGGATTTATTGATGATGATAACATTATTTTTTTCAGTTTTACACTGTAGTAAAGAATGTGAAAAAGGCCCATCAAATTCAAGAAAGTGGAGAATTTCAGGAGTTTAATGATGATGTTGAATATATATTGGATACTTTAAGAGAAAATAATCCAAATGCTACACGTTGCCTTTCAGCTATACGCTTAGCAAGCAAATGCATGGCTCCAGCCTTTCGTATGCATGTACGTGCTCATGGAACCGTTGCTAAATTCTTTAAAGCATTACACGATGCCACTAAAGATCAAGTACGTCTTTTATTTACTATTTTAATATCCAAAAAAAAAAAAATGGATAAATTTTAATATTATTTTGTGTTGCAATTAGAGTCTTGGTCTGTGTACAGCGACTGTAATGTTTGTGTTAAGTCAAGATCGTCTAGCGATGGATTTAGATCGAGATTGCTTAGAACTAATGTTAAGTTTATTGGAATCTGATGCCAGTCATAAAGATGCGCTTGACGATTGTGGCCTTAGTAGGGCTGAATTATTAAAAAATAAGGAAAAAGTACGGCAGTTATGTGCGGATATTCAAGCACAGGGACATGCAAAACATTTAAATTTGGATAATATTACTGTGAGTAATATAATTATTTCTGATTATTGATTAATCAATATTAATTTTAAATGGAAAGGAAATGTGATAAAATATATTTATCTTTGCAGGTTGGGCAATTAGCTATGGAAACACTTCTCAGTCTAACTTCAAAACGTGCAGGGGAATGGTTTAAAGAAGAACTTCGAGAGTTAGGTGGTTTAGAACATATTGTAAAAACAGTCAGGGAATGTCATCGCCATATTAATGCGCATGATGTTACAAGAGGTGGTTGGACGGAACCATTATTAGATAAATTACGTAAAGTTGACAGATGTTTACGTGTATTAGAAAACGTAAGGACTATCTACCATAAATTATAATACGAATTATATTAAATATTCTTATTCAATTTTTCGTATATCACTAATAATATATATTATACTTATGATTAGGTTACACATATGAATGAAGAGAATCAAGTATATTTATTAAAATATGATGATGGTATATTAGTAAGTACTTTAGCAAGTCTTTATTACTTATGTGGACAAGAGATTCCCATTTATCCAACCATAGACCCAAGTGATAAGAGTTCAATTGGTGCTGTTGTCAGAGAATGTCTTTTTGCTATTATCAAAGTTCTCATAAATCTCACTCATCGATTCAATAGACAATGTAAGCTTATTGGATTTCATATAATTTTCATTTTCCAATATAATGAGATTGATTTATTGTTATAATTATATATTTTTTGCAGCTTGTGGAAGCAAATTAGTGGGATCACAAAGTGGTGTAGTTGATTGTAGTTTGTATCTTTTATTACGTGTACCAGAATCGCTACCAGAAGAAAAAAGATTTGATATGATGATGTTGGCATTAATTCTTTTAATAAATTTAGTAGAGCAATGTGATGATAATAAACAACATCTTATTGAGTCAAAGGCTCCTCCATCTACAGAAAATATTTTTGATGGTATGTGTTTTATATATATTATATAAGCGCTAGATATATATTATTTAAGTATATGTATTTATCAAAACATATGTAATTATATTTATAAATCAAATTGTTGTTATAGCCGAAGAAAGTGGTGTAGAGTCTTTGATTGATCTCTTTTATAAACAAGAAGAACTGGCAAGAGCTGAAGAGCAGAAAACTGATGCAATTTTAGATGGTAAAAAAGATTCAGAACAGACAGAAACAGTATCAACAACAACAAAATCCCAGGAAGAATTTATTGAAGAAACTGTTACCAAATGTTCGTATAAGTATTTCTTAATGATGTACAATATAAAAACTTAATTATATTACATTAATCCCTCTTCAGTATTGCAGAAAGCTGGACGCCACATGGAACATACTTTAATAGGTGCATATGTAGTTCTCCTACTTGGATACTTAATAATGGATAACAAGGTAAAAATTACTTGATTTATACTTCAGTAGAGATATATAGTACATTAGAAAAAGTAGATTATGAAATAAGATAAGATATTGTCATGTTAAGATACTATGATATCTTTTAGGATTACGAATCACTCGTACGTAGCAGACTCCCAGATAACAATTTTTCCACAATGGTATCTGTACTTCAAAAGTTTTTCAATTTTATGAATTTAACAGCATCGGTAATTATTCATCATTTGATTTTATATAAGTTTAATTATATATCGTATTTAATAACACATTTCTCAGTAATTTTAAATATTTTTATACAGAATGAAGTAAGTAGTTGTGGAATAGCAGCTACTGAAAAGGTAATTAAGTTCCTAAAAATGTCGGACGTTAGAACTGAAGAGGAGCGAAATGAATTACCATTACCAGCATTGGAAGACCCCAATATGATGCTTGATTTGACTTCATCTTGATTAATATATTATGCACATATTGACAGCATTTTTTGTTTTACTGGCATACAAAATGAGCCAAAGTTATCTATGTCTGAGAAAGGAATCCCTGTTACTTCATAGATTGGACACCTGTTTCGTATTAATCGTATGTATGTATACGTGTATATAGGACGCTCTCACGCGACGAATGTACATGCATACATACATACGTATGTACTACACACACACACACACACACACACACACATACACACACATACAATATATATATAAATATATATATTTATTCATTTACATAATTTATTACTTTATGTTTCATTAATTTTCATGTGGTTTGCTTTTCATTCACAGCATTTTAGATTTTAAGCTTTAGTTGTTACTTAAATATGGAGACAAAAGAATGCAAATCGTAGTGATTGATCTTGTAATTATAAAAACGTACCTCTACATGAGTATCAATTGGATATCATAATTAAATGAAACTTGTTCGGTCAAATGGACAGGAATATTGATCATCAATAATATTGTGAACTTTATCATATAGAGTGTAGTTTATTTGCTGTATAGTAATAGATGAATTTATCTTTGTACAATCATTTTAAAGTTACATAAACTGTGTTTTCAAACCTGTTAAGTAATAATTAATAATGTTGGGTATAAAATAACCCTTCAATATTCAAAATAGTGTTATGTAAGCTTATTTTAATATTAAAATTACATTAAACTATAAGCCTTGTAAATGTACATTTATAAATTATAATTGTATCTTACATTCAATGGTTTTTTGTTATTTTTATCATTAGACATGCGTATTATTTTATATTAAAATACGTGGGTTTACGATCTACGCGTTGATTCAAAATAACCAAATATAATTATAACAATGTAACAAATGATCACTTATTAAGTTTCGCGAATATCTTTAATTTTTATATGCTTTCGATTGCGACCGTTCGTATGATCCTAAGAGACTTGTAATCATCATCGTAGTGTTCACGCGTGATTGCTCGGCAATGTCCGATCAGAGTCGGGAACGATCGGATCGACTTGGGAGCATTTGGCTTATCATCGGCAGCGTTGTGCGCAGTCGTGCGACGCGTTGGCGGCGTTTCGTACGCGACAGCGCGCTTGCGTGCTCGATGCGCTGTATTCGCGTTCGCGCTCGCGCTCATGCTCGCGAGTCGCGGCACGCGATCGGCGCGCACACAACGCCGCGCGACGTTGTGTCGTGTGTGTCCAACGTGTTGGCTCGCGTTACGACTCATCCTGTCCTTTTTTTCCCTCGTTTTTTTTCCCTTCCTTCCTCTCCTCCTTTTCTTTTTTCTTTTTTTATTCTATACCCTAACGATTCGTTCGAACCATCGTCCTTTTGATTTTTTCTCCTTGGATCCTATCTCCGCCCACACCGGAAATTCGCTCTCGCCACGGACGTTCTCTCGCGGCGCTATTCGAAAGTGTCTTTCTTTTTTATTAATTATCTCGTCCCGACGCACACGTGTTTGTGTGCCGTGCCTCTACGAACAACTATCTCTCTCTCTCTCTCTTTCTCTCTCTCTCTCCCTCTTTCTGTCTCTCTTTCTTTCTTCCTCACACTTATACGTGTTTCTTTCTCTTTCTTTATCTTTCTTTTTCTTCTTTTTGCCTTTCTCTCTCGCTCTCTACGTGTACGAGTAAATGTTATCTGTACCTTCGTCAGAGAGAAGGCACTCATGGGTTTCAGTCGCGCTATTGGAATGCACTTAATCCGGTCGAGGCCCCCTGCGATGTGACAGGTATTTCACCTGATAACACGTGATTTCATCTACGGCGTTCCACGTAAGGAGCATCTCTCACTTTCTCTCTCTCTCTCTCTCTCTCTCTCTCTTTTGTTTCAATTCTAGAGATTAAATCCGTTTATCGCGTTTCACAGTATTTTCCTTTGTATAGTCGTCTAATTTCTTGACGTTTTCATTAACCGGCCATATGAATCGACCTTCCCCTCGTTATTCTGATCCACGATGATAGGACTCGATGGTCGTTGAGTCGTGGGTGCGGATCGGTTCGAATATAACCGAGGAGAACGTTATCGTCGACAGGATTTTCGATTTTCCATTTCTCTTGTGAATATTGTTTTTTTTACCATGCAAAAGGATCGATCAAAATGAACGTTAATCATCGATTTATCTTATAAAAATATATATTTTATTCTTAAATCGTATTGCCCATAACAACACGATGTCATTTAGATAATGCCGTTTAGAGATTTTTAAATTTTTAAGAGAAAACTTTTTTTATTATTTATCCTCTTCTAATAACGTAATAAAATGTTTTCCCTTTAACGTTTAATAAAATAGGATCATAGTTGGTACAGGAAATATTATAGAAAAAAAAGGTATTGCTAACGAATGCATTCCCTAATTCGTTCTCTAACATCATCTTTTTTTTTTCCTTGAATATTTATAATATTTTATAATTTACGATTACGATCTAATGAAAAACATTTTTCTTTTTAGAAGATTATGTTTAAGATTAAATTTTTTTAGCTTGAAAGAAAAAGAGAGCAAAATGATATGTTAACGATATTTTAACGATATACATATATATATATATATATATATATATATGAACTATAAGGATAATCTGTTTAAATGTTTTAACACTTATGTATTTTCTAGCAAATTTATCTTCTTTATTTTCGATCTTGATAGTTCGAGATCGATCAATATTTTGACACGTCGATCCCGTTAATACATTGATGCAATATATCTATAATGACATTATCACGATTTATCGCGATTTAAAAGAATATACTTCTCTTGATTTTTTTTTCTTTTTTTTTTATGCGAAGTAAATATAACACTTTTTATTTAACCGATATGAGATAAATATTTCATATCTTTTATTATGTGAGCTGGCTTTAAGCTTTCTTACTTAAAGATAAAGAACAAATAGCTTAGCATTAAAGCATTACGTATTTTTAACATACAGTTTTATTATTTTACTCAAACGATCAATAATTATTATATCATATAGATAAATTGTAAAAACTAGATATTGATGAATAATTCTTTTTTTTTTTTTTTCTTTTTCTTTTTACAATTTTATAAATTCTCAAAGAATTATGTTATTATACGTTTGAAAAATATAAAATAAAATCGCTCTTATTTCTAAATACGCAGCGAATATAACTCGATCCTTCTCAAAGAGAAAAAAATACAAGAAGGAGCGAGAGCGAAAGAGAGAGAGAGTAAAGACAAGTTAAACTCGCACGTGGAACGTAGATACCGGACGTAATTCGCTCAAGCGGTTCATCCACCTCAGTGTTTCAGGGTTGATACGCTCGAAACGACTAGATTCTACCTGAGAGTCATGCTATTATGGACATCAGCGGCGGCAGTAACGGTAGCGGCGCAAGTAGCAGCCACAGTAACTGTGGTCCTCTGACGATTACCGACGTTGGCAACAATAAAAATTGCCAACCAACTAAACAACAACACGGCAACAACGGACGTTTACAAAGTGTTCGAAAGATGAGCACGATGCATGAAGAAGAGGATGGTTCGGACGACGTCGATCCGGATGTCGTTAAAAGTGCCCAGCAGCAACAATATCATCATCCTCATTCTCATCATCATCATCCTCATCATCATCATCATCAACAGCAGCAGCAGCAGCAGCAGCAGCAGCAGCAGCAGCATCATCAGCATCAGAATCAGCATAATCACCTTATTCACGGTCATCATCGAGAGTCACAGCAAGATGTCGATTCAGATTCACCGTGCGAGGAGAGGGGTCGGCTTTTGAGTTCCGCTGGCTCTTCCAGGAAGGCTAGGATCAGCCAAGCCAAGATTCTCACTGGATACGATCCCGAACTCAGATTAGGTTCCAGCGGACATAGCGGCAGTACCGACAGTGTTCACGACAGGTCTCAACCGAGACTTCATCAATCGAGACCGATCATGTAATACTTCGATATTCTCTAATATATTTAATACCTTTTCTTTTTTTTTCTTTTTTTTTCTTTTTTTTTCTTTTTCTCTTCATTTTTTTTTTTTTAAATATTTTTCTCGATAATCAATGACGACAAATCTGTTCGTTGGTAAAAAGATTTCAAGATGGATCAATTATTAAAGTGATACGAGACACTATCGTTATTTGTTTTTGAATTCTGGAAATTCTATATTTGCTTAATTACGTAACAACGATGCAATACGAAAGAACACGATATTTGGAAGAATTGAAATTTTTTCTTTTTTTTTTTTTTTTTTTGTTTTTTTTTTCTTTTTCCAGATCGAACGAGCAGTCGGGAAGAAGCACTCGTGGCGTCGATCATCACGTTACTCGTCATCATCGTTATCCAAGTATGCGTTCGTTGAAATCAAACGCCACGATGGACGAACACCATCATCATTATCATCAACATCAACCACCAGCCGCTAGCTGGGCCTCAATCGTTTTTTCTGATGGCAACGGCCAGGTTGGTCGTCCATTCACCGATTCCGTTTCCATACGCTCTCTAGCATCGATCGGCATGGGCTCTTCTGACGGGCGGAAGCTCACGATACGTAGAGTTCCTACTTCGCCGTCGGAGCTTCTTAACTTGGTACATCCGCCGCCGTAAGTGACCACATTACCTACGATCCTCTCGCTATCCTAGCATCTTCGCGAAATCTTCGATATGAATTACGATATCTTTTCCCTTTTTCTATCGGTATTTCATTAAATTTTATTCGTTCAAGTCAAACTTCTAATACTTTTAATTTCTATAGAAATCATCAGTAAAACGAAAAGTTGACCTGAATATCGAAGAATAAAAAGAGTGCATATATTTTTTGCTCTTTTTTGTCCCCTAGTTTACTGAAACTAATCATCGGAATTATTGCTTATAACAATTCATACGAAAAATAGTTTGTATTTTTATTTAAAAAAAAAAATATATATATATATTAACATAAAAAAATAGTGTTATAATGCATGCGTAATGAATGTTGTGACGCATTATAATAATGCATGTGCTTTGTTAATTTTAACACGTGGAATTTGTTTAGTTTAATGTTTTGAAAAAATCCGAATATAATATTTACTTCATTGTTTTAATCGATCGATTTTTTTAAAATGCGCTTCGATTTTCACTTATAATTTTCTCAAACAAAATACGGAAACGAGATTCCTAAGCGAAATGAAAATTAAAACACGTCATGTTTGAGATAGTTAAATAATCTATCTCATTCTGCGTGGTTCCATCATCCATGAAAGAGCACATCCCTGTCATAAAGATGTCACATTTCTCTATTTTTTTTTTTTTCAACTGAGCGTCAACCTGCCGTCATGTGTATGAAGCATACGCTAACGTTGAGCGTTTCTTTAACACGTACAGTGTACACACTGATACAAATTTATATGCGTATCTATTTTAAACAAACACTATATTTATTCTGATGAGTGATTTATAAATAAAACGAGTTGTTTTCTTACATAAAAAAAGAAAAAAAAATTATTTTTAGTTTCGACGATTAATAAGGAAAATAAAACAAGCTTTATTTCAGATCTACTGAAATCGAGTGAAAAAAAAAAAAAAAATTAGTGCATGATAAATCATACGATCCTAACGATTTATTGCGGATTAAGAAACATGAACCAATTAAAATAAATCATTTTTTTTTCTTTCTTCGAAAATAAAATATAAAATGGGAAACGCGATAATACCAATTTATCATGAAAATAAGAAAGAAACGAAAAAGGAAAGGATACGAGAACGAGGAGAAGAGGTATGAATGTCACGAGAGTTTTCGCGGCCACTCGTTAATGCGATGAACAAACATTATAACGCAAGAAGGTGGCTCGGTAACTTGTGTTGGCATAAAAATAAGACCACTTCTTGATTCGTATGTCAGTTTAAAATTGGAATCTCTAGGTGTTGTAGGTAGAAAAACGATTCCGTGCTTGTATATCTACATAAGTACATACATTCGTATATATATATATATATATATATATATATATATATATATATATATAATACATATTTATATAATATATATATATATATGAATACATATTTTTGACACGGGTCTCGATTCTCTCAAAGTTTTATATACTTCGTGAGTGTTACTTCTTTGTGCCTTGTTTATCCGAGGATTATGATTTAAACTTCTATTGTAAATATACATATATATATATATATATATATATATATATATATACACATATGTATATGCATAGATATCACATGCATACAGATACGTATGCGTTAACATTCTCGTTCGCCACGCGTTAAAGCTAAAAGAGAAGCAGTTTTAGGGTAAACAATATAACGATTAATAAATGTTTATTGCATGTGCCAAGAGAAATAGCAATAAATGTCGCGCGTTACATTTATTACGAGATAAAAGAGTGATGGAGAAAATTTGAAAGATACAAAAATCTTTTTCTCTCTTAGAGATAGCTAAAAGTCAAACTTTCTGCTGTACTCCTTTTATTTTAGTTCAGAAATTCTGTGCCGACGAAAAAGATAGATAGATAGATAGAGAAAAAGAGAAAGAGATAGAGAGAAAGAGAAAAAGAGAGAGAGAGAGAGAGAGAAAAAAAGAGAGAGGGAAAGAGAGAGAAAGAGAAAGATAGATAGATAGATGAGGTGTACTTCTGAACTACTAGTGAAGCGTGGTCTCGTCATCCAGAGACTGCAATTCCGCCGTATTGTCCCAGAGACGTAAGTGGATAATAGGTGTACAATGTAAGCCCCGTACTTTTGTTGCAAGTAGGTGTACATACATTGTTGTAGCTGTCCTGTTTCTTTCATTGTAAATGATGGTATACGTTATATTTAAAGCGATGTCATGTTTTTGCATTTCGAATTCTTTGTATGTATAATATGTATGTATAATATGTACGTATTGTATGTATGTATGCATGCACCTACGTTGAAAACTATTGCTGCCTATTTTTCTTTTCTTTTCTTTTCTTTTTCTTTTTTTTTCCTCTTCTTTATTTTCTTTTCTTATTTTTTTCCAAGAAAGATCTATCAAGGAACGTCTTTCTTCCTTCCCTCCTCGCCATACATACGTACAAAGAGTATTATGTAGATATTAAACAGAATTTTTAATTATTCGTAAGAAGATTGATGTGTCGCTCGTTAGAAACGTTCCCCAACATGTATATACTTGGACTAACTCATTTCATATCGACAAAACATGATTAATGTGTGTTATACGTTCGTTTACATATAATATTATTTTTATATGCATACTCATCGTTTCCTATCCCCTCCATCTCCACCTCTTATCCCTCGAAGTAGATATAAATTGTCGATTATTAAAAAAGAAAAAAAGAAAAAAAACATATGTCGGATGAGAAAATATGTACCCAGTTGTGCGTATGTATTCATTAATGTTATGTACATACGTTTAAGTAGTTTCTCGTCGAGTATCGAGTACATGTATGTATGTATGTATGTATGTATGTATGTATTTATATATATATATATACATATATATATACGATCGTAACTCCTCGTTTGATCGTTTAAGCCCTGACACACAGCAGCGCCTATTTCGCGCGCTTCGTATTATAAATAATAATTATTGTAGAGAGAGGGGTTCGGTTAAAAAAAAAAAAAAAAAAAAAAAAAAAGAAAGAAAGGCATACAAAATTCTTTTTTTTTCTTTTCTTTGTTTTTTCAATTTTTACCACTTACATAATATAATATAAGTAGATATATCGAGTATGACAAGGTCATAGCACGGAACGCGTTTCTCTACTTAATTGATCCTACTCGATCTACTTACCCTTTAACAAGGCTTTCCTCTTCACACGAGAAATTCCTCCAGAGAGTGAGAGAGTGAGAGAGAGAGAGAGAGAGAGAGAGAGAGAGAGAGAGAGAGAGAGAGAGAGAGAGACGTAAACAAACTCGTTTGAAGAAGTTTAACATCCAACGAAATTTCTAAATCTTTCGTTATTTCATACAAATATTCCTTTTTTTTTCTATTTTTCCATTCGTCCATAATATTAGATGCTATTATAATGAATCAAAAAAATCATTTATCTTTATCCTTATTCATAAAGATTTACGAAAGAACAAATTTATATTTATATTGAGAGTATATGGTTATGTATTTACAAAATAAATACGAGCACTTTAAATGAATCACTTTAATTATAATTTCAGATAAGTATATGTATGGCGATGTTACATTCCTTTGAATATGATTTCTAGTTTTTCTAATGCGAACATTTAAAAAGAGCGGCTTTTGAATATGAAAGAAATCGAACACGGATTGTTACACGCCTGTCGTATGTTAATCCAAGACATATTTAATGACATCTGCGTGGCCTGCAACCTGATATTTTGACGCGAATCAATTTTATGCTTGCACATCTGCTTACCGATAATAATGACAACATAACGTTGAAATACTCGTTAAAAATAAACGAACGAACGTGTCTATCTAATCTTCTTTATTGTTTATATTACCATGAATATCGATAAAGAAAAAGTAGGACCGAACGACGAGGATTGCCTTGTCCTGAATTTGAAACTTACGATTAAATTATTTGTGACGTTACTAGTTAAGAAAATATTTATCAGATGAAATACCATGCGTAAGAGACCTTCTATTTCTGGAATAATGAAAAATACATATCGATGTACATACCGTTTGTAATGCTACCTATCTATCCTCGTATTATTCCATTTACATGATCCTATTTATTTTCTACAACTCGACTCGAAACTGTCACGTTTGTTTGTTCAGCTCCATCGAGGATGATCTATCCACGTGTACGAGTTACGACGATGGCGAAGGCGAGGATCCTGGAGATTATCGACAACCTAGAAGACCACATTGGGCTAATAAAGTTCAATTCGTCCTTGCTTGTATCGGTTACTCAGTTGGCTTAGGAAATGTTTGGAGGTTTCCTTATTTGTGTTACAAAAGTGGTGGTGGTGAGTATATTTGCACGTACATATATATACACCTATCTTTTTTTTTTATAAACAAATATTAAAAGTTTATATATTATTACTATAATGGTATAATAAAAGTATATAAAAAAGGTATAGTAAAATATATAGTATAATAAAATAAAATAAAATAAAATAAAATAATATAATATATTATACACACACACACACACACACATATATATATATATATATATATATATATATTTATACGCTGTCTCTCTCTTTTTATTTTATTTTATTATATTACATATTACAGTATAGTACAGTATAGTATATAGTACATGGTTATATTTCATATTCAATAAGATATAAAACGAAGAAAGGTATTAAAAGTAAATAAATAAACAAATAAATAAACACGGACATTCACACCAAATATTACTTATCTCGTGCGAATACCTTTTTGTAGATTATCGTTACGTCATTTGAAAGATCCAAAAACAGATTCGCCTACGTCAAATAAATTCTCCTTGTGTCGTCACGTATCTTTCGTGATTAGAGTCATGATGATAAGAGAGAGAGAGAGAGAGAGAGAGAGAGAGAGAAAAAGAGAGAGACGACGTTTATTTTTCGCATCATTGATTGTGCGAAATACGTCACGGACACCTGTGATCACTTTAAGGCATCGTAAGTTCTAAATACTCCTAAGAGTCGGTCTTTCTTTTTCTTTCTCTCTCTCTCCTTTTTTCTTTTTCTTTTTCTTTTTGCAAGATAATAAATCTAAAGAACATAAGACGCTACCGAAGGTATTACGAGATACATATGTACGTTAAGAGATTAGGATTGTAAAGAATGGTACACAAAAAAGTGAACGGATGAGATCAAACTCGAGAATTATTTTCTAACATGATGACAAATGATGATTTCTTTTCATTCTTAATCTATTCGAGTTGAAGAATTACCACAGTTGTTAATCAATGTAGTTAGTAACTTTTTAAAAGTAATATTTTATTTTATTTTTCTGATCTTCTCTCTCTCTCTCTCTCTCTCTCTCTCTCTCTCTGTCTTTCCTCCCTTGGCTGCCTCCTTCCCCAGCCTCTATATTCAACCGATAACTTGAAAATATGAACCAATCCACGAAACTCATAGATTAGATTTTTAATTCATTATTTCTCGACATTCACCGGTCGGTTCCGGCCAATTAAATAGTAGTTCCATACCATGTTCATGAATAATACAAAATTATATCCGACGGTAAATATAAAGTACATGTTTTATATATATATATATATATATATATATATATATATATACATATATATGTATGTATACATTTTCTAATATTACGTCAACGAGAATTAAAGTTGTTATGAAGGTACAGTAATATTTGAACATAGAGCGCTAATATATATACACACATAGAATGTGTTTTGCGTGTTTATCATAGAACACGTTTTAAATCAGACTTGCATGAAAATTCGAGGCCAAGGAATTTAAAACAGAATTGTTATCATATATACCTAATTGCATACATACATGCATACATATATATATATATATATATATATATAGATAAATATATATGGATATATATGTACGTATGTACTTACTTAAGTATATAGATACTTCGAGATATCCTTAACGTAATCGAGCTCTCTCTCTCTCTCTCTTTTGTATCTTGTTGCTGTTAATCTTCAAACTCTGAAAGAGCACTCGTCCTCCGGACGTAGTGGCGCAATTCGTTCTCTCTCTCTCTCTCTCTCTTGGAACTTGATACATGACCTTGATAGAACTCGGTTACACCGGAGGAGCGTAACACCGTAAATGATTTCAATGACACCGGTGGAAATAATCGGACTGAGAGTATAATTTTGTTCGGTCTCACCGTTCGTTTGAATTGAGAGAGAGAGAGAGAGAGAGAGAGAGAGAGAGAGAGAGAGAGAGAGTAAGAGAGAGAGAGAGAGAGAGAGGTAGACAGATGGAAAGAGAAACTGAGAGAGAAAAAGAGAGAGAAAGAGCGAGAGACAGAGAGCCGTGCAGCCGGAAAATGAGATCGGATGCCGCGGACTGATTTGCACCGACGAGAAATAAGTACTATTCTCAAGCTCTCGGATGCTCGTTAAAGAGATATTAAGAGATGTTAAAGAGATAAAAGATTCGGTCTTGAAAATCTACGAGGAAACATAATGATAGAGATCAAACATCGTGATCAAAACGTTATGTTTGTGCCCATCGTATCCATGTGACGATGGGAGGAGGGCGGGGAGGGAATAGGTTAGGAGAGAGGGATTAATACTTCGACTTGTTGTAACCATTTAAATTTTCTCACGTTTATCTTATTATTAGAATAATCGTGAATATGACAATTATAAATTGATCACGAATAAAGAGAGATATATTATTAGAAATTTATTAGAAAGATAATTATATTTGATAATTATATTTGATTGATTTATTTCTTGGAATAATGCGTTATATTCCTTGAAGGAGATTGAATTTTTCACGAGATAACACGTGTCTCTTAGCGATAAGATTCATTTGCCAATGTATATAAATTTTTGTATGATTCTTCGGGAAAACAATTCAAAACGATCTTCCGGGGTTTTTACAAATGATACACTAATTATATTATTAAATGTATCGCATACGGTACTTTTTTAAAAGAATGGATTAATTTGCCTTCCCAATTTACTTCGCCATACTCGAGACTATTCTTTCCTGTTAAATTAAATCGTAATCCGTAACAGTGATCATCGTTTATTACGAATAAAGAGTTATATCCAGTGACCTTGGAACTACCCACGATGCGACGATTAATGTAGAGTAGCATTACGTACGAGTTGCCTTAACGAAGCATCTAATAAATCCATCGTAGTGATTTAATATCGGTTACCTAATGAATCTGGCTGTTAACTTAAACAAATGAAAAATCTTTGTTGTTCGTTATAATATATTGTGGTATTCAAGTTCATCGAATCAAAAATATATTCAAATACAATTTACGATAAGTCTTTGTTAAGTTCTCGATAGATTGAGAAAATTTAACGGATTGGGAAATTTTCTAAATCAAGAATTTAATATAATGTTTCAGATGATTTAATGTTTCTTTCTTTCTTTCTTTTTCTTTTTTTACATGCAGGAGTATTTCTGGTACCTTACTTCCTAATCCTCGTTGTTTGCGGAGTACCGTTATTATACATGGAACTCAGTATAGGACAATTTACAAGACGAGGACCGATCGGTGCCCTTGGTCAAATATGTCCGCTCTTCAAAGGTGAGTTTGAATAGTAATAAAAAAATATATTAGATCTTGTCATAAGAAATTTAGAACGATTACGAAAAACTTGACGTTTGATCTCGACGAAGTTTAATTCGTTAAAGCGTAGACTAAGAATGAGTGCAAAAATTGTCACATTAACTTGACCTGGTTAATTAACGATATTAAACTCTATCGAGGCTTGGTAACTCATTTATCCTTAAGAATATTTTCACGTGTATATTCTTTTCTTCTTCTTTTTTTTTTCTTTTTTTCTTTTTCATAGGAGCCGGATTATCATCAGTGGTGATATCTTTTCTAATGTCGACCTATCACAATGTGATTATAGCATACGCTATATATTACTTTTTCGCTGCGTTCAGAGCCCACCAACCATGGTCAGATTGTGATAATTCGTGGAACACAGCTGCCTGTTGGTTGCCAATTAATGGTTTCGTTGATAATCGAACTCGTCTCAATGCCTCAAAGACACCGTCCGAAGATTTTTTCGAGTAATTTCCGAGCAAACGCGCGTAAATCCTTTATTAAGTGCTTTTGATCCTTATTTATTGGGACGATAGTTCAATTCTTTCTTTTTTTTTTTTTTTTTTTTTTTTTTTTTTCTTTCTTTACATTATTTGCAGTAACAAAGTCCTTCAGATCAGTAGCGGCATCGAGGAACCTGGAGCACTGAGGTGGGAACTCGTAGCTTGTCTGATAACAGCCTGGATCATGGTATACTTCTCAATTTGGAAATCTATCAAATCATCGGCACAAGTAAGGTATCTCACGGCAACACTACCGTTTCTTCTAATTGTCGTCTTTCTTACACGGTCCCTCACCCTCGAAGGTGCCGACAAGGGCCTTCAATTTTTCTTCCATCCACGCTGGGAACTACTTGGCGACGCAAAGGTATATGGCAAAAAAAATGGAATCTATAAACGTTCTCTATATATTCATACCTATAGTCTATAACAATTTTTATAATAATGAACTTTCATAATCAACCTTTTAATTTTAATTTTAATTAATGATCATCTCTCCGTTAGAAAGAATTCGCTTTTTTTTCGAATTTTGACCGATCTTTAAAGTCAAACATCGTTAACGTCACACTAATCTCTGTTATGTAATGAAATTGTTTGAGTCGAAGGATTCACGTACGTTCTCGTGACTTTAAGGTATGGATCAACGCCGCGGCACAGATATTCAACTCCGTCGGTATCGCATTCGGTTCGATGATCTGCTTCGCTAGTTACAACAAATTTCACAATACCATTCTAGTGGATACCGTAGCGGTTTCTCTGATTAATGCGTGTAGCAGCTTGCTCGTTGGGATCTTTTCGTTCGCGACAATCGGGAACATCGCAAGAGAACAAAACATGTCTGTCGAAGCGGTACTTAGCGACGGTAAGTCGCTCTCGATATTTACAATTCGAATTATCAATTAGATTATAAAAGTTTCTTATTTTGATCGATCGTTTTAATCGATCGAAAAGTAAGAATCAATCAAATTCGAAGGAGACGACATATATTTTGTTTAATACAATTTTATATCTCTCCTCGAATATAATCGTCAGATTAACGTCAGTCTCCTGACATTTTATAGATAAATCATAATTTCCGTTAAAGGACCTGGTCTAGTATTCGTCATCTATCCGCAAGCTCTAGCCAAGATGCCAGCGTCTCAACTCTGGGCTGTATTATTTTTCTTCATGATGGTATGCCTTTCACTGAACAGTCAGGTAAATAAAAGTTCGACTTTTTAAGTTTTTAAACGTTAATACCTTTTAATACCTTCGAATAAAAATCTAATCGTTATATCTAATCATTTATAGTTCGCTATAGTCGAAGTCGTAGTGACATCGATTCAAGATGGATTTCCAAATTGGGTTAAACGTCGTCTACTCTGCCACGAGATGTTGGTACTTGTGATATGCGTTGTTTCTTTCCTCTTTGGATTACCCAACATCACGCAGGTAATCATCAATTTTGCATACCGATAGTCCATTGTTTGTATAATGTAAATGTCAAATGAATCATTTCATTATAATGCTGTTTACTTTTTCAGGGAGGAATTTATTTCTTTCAACTAATAGATCACTACGCAGCGTCTCTCTCGATCATGTTTTTAGCTTTCTTCGAAGTCTTTGCCATATCTTGGTGTTACGGCGTTCGAAGATTATGTAACAATGTCAAGGAAATGACTGGGAGAGTACCTTCCATGTATTTTCAATTTTGTTGGCTCGTAGCGGCACCCCTTCTCATACTGGTAAAAATATTTTTTATTATTATTTATTATTATTATTATTATAATTATTAATAATTAAATTTTTTGTTCCTTTCTCGATCGTTTGATCGATCGATCGATCGATTCTTCATGTCTTCGTGTTTACGTTTCAGGCTGTATGGGTTTTCAGTTTGATCGACTATGAACCACCAACTTATCGAAACGGTGAATACGAATATCCATGGTGGGCGGAAGCTATAGGTTGGGGTATAGCATCTCTTTCTTTGATTTGCATTCCAGCTTTTGCCATCTACGTGTTCATTAAATCCGACGGCAATACTTTCTCCGAGGTATATCACATGTTTCGTTATAACATTTCAGAATTCTTCGAATTGATAAATAAGTGTAACTACGCGCGCCTTTATTTCACTTCGACTTCATATTTATTTTTAGAAATTAAAGAACTCCATCAAGCCTCACTTTGAAGCGTGCAAACTTTGCGGACAGGAATATTGCCAGGAACCTATGCACAATCTAGAGGAAGAAACGGCGAAGGATCCACAACAGGATATGATTAATCCAATTCAATTAAATGCGAATTATCTTCTCTCGAAACCACAATCATGATGTCATGTAAACATATTTTTGAAATAATTTCATGAATCATCGAATCGATCGAGATCGCAATCGTTGTGTATATATATATATATATATTCACACTAAACGAGATGATGCATAAATACTCTCGAGGAATCTTTATCGATCAAATCGAGCAAATGCATCTTCTTATCTCCAAGCTAAATGCGTCATTTGAAAATAAACCCATCGATATCTAAGATCATCGATCATTCATTTATATTTGCATTTCATCTTTTAAATCGGGAGGAAAAAGTATAATGTTGATTTTTAGAAAAATAATTACAAGCAGTATAAAGAAAAAAAAAATCGATAAATGAATTTCTTACAATATCAAATTTCGAGTGATGGGACGATTGCATTTACAGCCTTCGATAACTTGCTTCGTGTAAAACTCATTTCGTTAGAAATAAAAATAGATAACACTTAATGAATAAATTTTTGTAACATGAATAGTTAGATGCGATATTACGACAGTAAAACGAGAGAAAAAGGAAAAAAAAAAGAGAGGAAAGATTAATCAATAAATAAATCATGTAAAATAGTGATATAGTCAAGAACATGAGTTGTACACAAAGAAGAATACAATTTTTCAGTCGTTAATTAATGTCCACATTCCTTTCTGTAAAATATAGTATATAAATAATGTAAAATTATTCATTGTAGAATTAAGACAATCTAGTTCAGTACAAAGACACGATTTTTAGGGAGATCGTCCAAGAAAAAAGATATATATATATATATATATATATATATATATTTACGTATATAGTCAAGTACCAAGCAATGTAGAAACATCAGCAAATAAATAAATAATTAATTATTATGGAAATTTGATCGATATTGTGTCATTTGTAAAATTATTCGTTCAAATAAATTCAAATGTTTTTTAACCAATCTAAAACATTTCGATTACGACGAAATCCATCACGTTCCTAAACACGAGTTGTAAAATAGTTATCGTAGTTGTCAAGGTTGAACTCGTCGAAGCCGTACATCAAAGTTTGTCTTACTTTATAGCAATCAATTTTACCATATTAGAATGTATTTGATAAAATCTATCCAAGTAAATGTAAAAGTTGTATATAACGAACGATTAATCTCTTTGCATAATTAGAAACGTTAATTTCACGTTAGATTTGATATAATGAAAACGCTTATATAAGTTTGATATTCCATTTCAATGACCGGACGATGGTCGATCCGTATACGGATCACGAGGGAATCCTCATATATTGTAAATTGGATTAAACTAATTGCGTTATGCATGTCTAGGGCAAGTTGTTATACCGTTCTGAAAATCGTTTCATTCGAAATCACGGAAAACTCAAGTTCACTTCGTTCCCTGTTTGATAGGAACACCTGTGAAATATGACGAAAAAGTTTGAATTTAATTGGCGAATAGAAGTACCAGAATTATTGAGAAATGGTTCGATATTTGATAGATGGTTTGAGGATAAGGAAACGACCGAATATGAGCCTAATTGTATGTTTAAAGTCGACGAGTATGGTTTTTTTATCTCTTGGAAAAGTGACGGAAAGGTAAACTGGATAATATTCATTAATTTTAAAAGATAAAATCTATTTTATTTGTTCTTATAAAATTAAATCAAAAGTATCATGCATTATACCCTTTAATATTATGTAGGATGGTGATGTGATAGAGTTGGCTCAGGTCAGTGACATTCGTTACGGTGGAACTCCTAAGGTAATTACATTTAGAAAATGAACTCTTTGATTTGACCATATCCATAATCGTTTCAATATACTTGCAAATTTTTTATTTAGGATCCAAAGTTATGTAACAAGTTAAGTAAACACGGGAATTTAGAGCAATTGGATGAAAAAAGTTTAACTATATGTTCAGGCATTGATTATACCAATATACATTATCAGCACGTGGTATGTGCCGATGCAAAAACAGCAAAGGTAGAAATTTATTTGTGTGTATGTGTATGTATATGTGTATGTGTATGTGTGTGTATATATATAAACAATTATATATGTAGGATTAATATAAACTTATCAATGACATGGAAAGTTTATATTTAAACGATTAATTGACAGGATTGGCAAGCTGGTTTACGATTGATTACACATAATACAAAAGCAAGTAATGTATGTCCAACGATCCAATTAATGAAGCAGTATGTATTGATTAAAATCATAATCAATTTACAAGGATAAAATTTTTTCATTTGTTATTTTTATTTATTTATTTCTTTTTTTCTTTTTATAGTTGGATGAGATTAAGTTGTCAAGTAGATCCAAAGGGAAAGGTTCCGGTGAAGGTAATATCAAAGACTTTTGCCTCTGGTAAAACAGAAAAATTAGTTTATCAAGGATTAGCCGACTTGGGTTTACCTAATGGAAAGGTAATTTCATTAAAAGCTAATTTCTTTTGCAGTTACACGTACTCGATATTTTAATTATTTCTATTCTTTATCATCCCTTAAAAAATTTTTTTTAGAACGATAAAATTGAACCGAGCGCGTTTACCTTTGAAAAGTTTTATAGTTTATACTTTAAAATCTGTCCTAGAAATGATATCGAGGAACTCTTCCAATCGATGTAAGTATCAAAAATATAATCTATTTTTTAATGGAAAGATCAATTTTTTTTACTCATAATTTTTTTTTTTTTTTATTCAGAACAAAAGGAAAAGCCGATTCCATAAGACTCGAACAATTGGTGACTTTTATGAATGAAAAACAAAGGGATCCAAGATTGAACGAGATTTTGTATCCGCTTTACGATGAAAAAAGATGTATAGAGATAATAAACGATTACGAAACGGACGAAAAAGCGAAATCTGAGAGTAATTATATATATATATATATATAGATATATATGATATATAATTTTTTTTGTTCTATAATATTTCATAGAAAAAAATAATCTCTATATAAATATTAATTCAATAAAATAAATATAATAGCAATATATTTGTAGAGAGATTGACAAAGGATGGTTTCATTCGTTACTTGATGTCAGACGAAAATGCGCCAGTGTTTCTCGATAAATTAGAAGAATGGATGGACATGGACCAACCACTATCTCATTATTATATTAATTCTAGTCATAATACTTATCTCAGTGGAAGACAAATTGGTGGAAAGAGTACAGTTGAAATGTACAGACAAGTGTTGCTAGCTGGTTGCAGGTGAACTATCTTTATTCCGATGAAGATTATAATCAAAAAAAAAAAAAAAAAATATTCTTACATTTTCTCTCTCTCTCCGTTTTTTTTCTTATCCGTTTAGATGCGTCGAGCTCGATTGTTGGGATGGTAAAGGTGAAGACGAGGAACCCATAATAACTCATGGAAAAGCAATGTGTACCGATATCCTCTTCAAAGACGTCATTTATGCTCTCAGAGATACAGCTTTTGTTACATCCGATTATCCGATTATTCTCAGCTTTGAGAATCACTGCTGTCTGAAACAACAATATAAATTGGCTAAATATTGCGATGAGATATTGGGCGATTTACTTTTGAAGGAACCTTTGAAAGATTATCCGGTAATTATATTAACTAGATTATAGATATTTGTTTGTATATAATTATAAAATCAATAATTGAATCGATTATATTTTATTCGTTTGAAATTAGCTCGAACCAGGTTCTCTTTTACCACCTCCGAGTGCATTGAAACGTAAGATATTAATTAAGAATAAACGATTGAAGCCAGAAGTAGAAAAGGTAGAGCTTGAATTGTTTCGTTCGGGACAATTCGAGGCTAAGGACGAAGTAGTCGAGGATGCCAGTGCTCCGGCAGCTCCACCACCTCCAGAACCACCGAAGGTCAATTCTATCAAAATGAAAATTAAAATGACAATATAATTATCGATATTAATCATATAATTATTGAATGTAATCGATATGTTTAGGAGGAAGTAGCACCGGCTGAAGGTGCACCACCAGGTGAGGGTGGTGCTGAGGGTGAAGCACCACCTATTCAATATACAGGTAGTACAATGGCATGTCATCCTTGGTTATCGTCTATGATTAATTACGCTCAGCCAATTAAATTCCAAAGTTTCGAAACAGCCGAAAGTACGTGCGAACTAAAATTCTTTTATATTTTTCTTAAAAGCTTTAAAGCTAAATCATTTTAAATTAATATTCTCTTTCTTCTTTTTTTTTTTCTCTTCGTCGTCGTAGAAAAAAATATACATCACAATATGTCTTCGTTCTCCGAAACGGCAGCTTTGAATTATCTAAAAACACATTCGGTGGAGTTCGTAAATTATAATAAACGTCAAATGAGTCGTATATATCCAAAAGGAACCAGAGCTGATTCCTCGAATTATATGCCACAGGTTAGACATTCGTAATTCGATTTTTTATTTCAATTTATATTTCGAATCAATAATTAATTTTTTTTACGTAGATGAATAATAATTATAGAAATCTGATTTTTTCTCTCCTTCTTTCTTATCTTTTCTTTTTTTCTTTTTCTTTTAGGTATTCTGGAACGCTGGCTGTCAGATGGTCGCATTGAACTTTCAAACTCCAGACTTACCGATGCAATTAAATCAGGGTAAATTTGAGTACAATGGAACTACTGGATACTTATTGAAACCTGACTTCATGAGAAGACCCGATCGTAGTTTTGATCCTTTTTCCGAAGACGTGGATGGTGTTATTACTGCTCAATGCTCTGTACAGGTAAGACGTTCTTAAAAAAAAAAAAAAAAGAAAAAAGAAAAGAAAAAAAAATATAGCTTCATAAAATAATAGAAAAAAGGTATGTTGTAAATAAGAGTTTATCAACAACGACAGATAATAGCAGGACAATTTTTATCTGACAAAAAAGTGGGTACTTATGTTGAAGTAGACATGTACGGTCTACCAGCTGATACAATAAAAAAGGAATTTAGAACTCGAATGGTACCTGGAAATGGTTTGAATCCTGTTTACAACGAGGAACCATTTCTATTTCGAAAAGTTGTACTACCTGATCTGGCTGTTCTCAGAATCGGTATAATTTAATCATAATTCCATTATCGAACTTTACCATCGATACCAATGATCAATTGTTTAATTTAAATGTCGATCGTACGTAATAACGTTTAGGTGTCTACGAAGAAAGTGGAAAATTACTCGGTCAGAGAATTTTACCACTGGATGGTCTTCAAGCTGGCTATAGGCATATATCTTTGAAAACTGAAGCTAACTTTCCAATGGCATTGCCTATGTTATTCTGTAATATCGAATTAAAGATTTATGTGCCAGATGGATTTGAAGGTAATCCCCTGCGAAATATGAAAATTTTATTTCCCCTCTTTTTCGAAAACGAAAAGAGAAATAATATAAATATGACTTGTAGATTTTATGGCCGCTCTATCGGATCCGGGTGGATTTAGTAAAGGTGCGGAGAAGCAAGCAGAAACTATGAAAGGACTTGGAATTGAACAGACCGATGCTAAAGCCGAAGCCAAAAAGAAGAAGGAGGAGGAAGCAAAGAAAGGTAAAGAAATTTGATCTGATGTAAAAATATTGATTTTTTCCTTTTTTTCTTTCTTCAAATACAAATTCAAAATTAATTAAATGATAATTCTTAGAGGAATGGAAGCCAGAACCAATTACGATAGATACATTGAAGAGAGAAAAAACTTATAAAATGGGAAAGAAGCAATTGAAGGAATTGGATACCATGAGAAAGAAGCATCAAAAGGAAAAACAAACTATGCAAAAAAATCATTGTGCGGCAATTGAGAAGTTAGTAAAGGGTAAAGAGTAAGTATCTGTTTTTCTTTTTTTTTTTTTTTGTCATTTTCTATAAGATAAAATAAATGATAAAGATCATACATATATACATATGTATGAAAATGGATATAATTTTATTAATCATTGTCTTAGTAAAAATGCATTGATCCAAGATGCAAATGTGAAAAAAGTAATAAGCGAACAAACAGCACAATGGTCGGCAATGGTAGAAAAGCATAGAAAGGAGGAATGGGAAATGTTGAGAACCCAAACGGAAGTAGGTCGGGACGAATTCAAAAAGCTTATTGAGGTGGTTCAAGCGTCGCAAGTTAAACAGCTGCAAGCGAAACACGACAAGTAAAATTAATAGAAATTTATAATTATAAATCCTTTTTTACGTTTTTTTTTTTTTCTTTTATTCTTTTCTCTTCCTCTTTCTTGTACAACACCCGCATAAAATCATCTGCAAAAAGGATGAATATCCGAAAAGTTATTTTTCATTCTGATTTAAAAGAGCACGCGATTTCTATTCTCATTGGAATAATTATTTTTATATATTTGTTTACGATCACAGAGATATCAAGGACATGAATGCAAATCAGGCTAAAGTATCCGTAGAAACGGCAAAAGAGGTGATGAATGATAAGGCCTTAAAAACAAAAGGCGATAAGGATCGAAGGCTCCGAGAGAAAAAGGAACAGAATACGAAAAAATTCATGCAAGAAAGAAAAACCGTACAAATAAAGCAAGGACGCGAAAAGGAAAAACTCAAAGTTTCGCACGAAAAACAAGTCGCCAATTTGGATAAAGATATTGATGCGGTAAGTGTTTACCTGTGTATGTATATATGTGAAATTTTATTTCTATAAATACATATTTCTCATGGTCGATTGAACTTTGGAGAAACTCTGAGAATCCCCCTTTACCTTCTTTCCCTCCATCACCCTTCCCCGGATACTACCTGTTTCTAGTTAAACTAAAAATTATATTATAATTAAATAACAATATATTATAATTAAATCCATGTATGATAAGGTAACTATATGTTGATTTTTAACGTAAGATTATTAAACAAATATATATATATATATATATATATATATGTATTTATGTTTCAGACGATCGAAATGTATAAAAACGAGGCCATCCAATACGATTTGTCGTCAAAAACTGAATTTTATGTATAAATCCTTTGTCTATATCAAAAGATATTACATAATTGTTGTATTTACTTTGTAATCGTACTTAATTTATTATATTATGTTATTTATATAGATCTATTTTTCTGTTGTTTTTTCTTTTTTTTTTTTTTTTTAATACTCTTTTACATAGAAAAAAAACACAATTTCTAATGCGATATTTATTTAACAATAGTTTATTAGTAACTTTCTCTCTCCGGAGTTCGATGATGAAATTGACGCTCTGATAAAAACATGATATTTTTTTATAATGCATATACATATATATAGATGTATATATAGATGTATGTGTATGTATGTATTTACAGTAAACTTATGTCGATATATAGTTCGACTTTAATTTATTATTAATAAATAATATATCGACTTTTGTTATAAATAAAAGTCATATTGTATTACGTAATAAATCGCATTCTAATTGGACAATATTATATATATATATATATATATATATATAAATCAAAAATTGTTGCGTTTATATTCCTTCCTGTTGACCTCTTTGCTTAAAAAAAAAATATTTTGTGTCTAGGTGTTCGGGGTATATGTTACTTGGGGTATATCTTACTTACTATATTCACAATACATTTACAAAATCGAATTTTTATTTTTTCCATCATTCGATAAATTCGTGCTGCATGGATTTGTGAAATTAAAGATTTGTAAAATTTAATTTGTACACTCGAAATTAATTATTATTACATTATATATTAGATACGTTTTCAATAATAAAATTTGTGCGTTTTTTCTTTTTACGTTCGCTTGTCTTAACTTTTTCAATCCTTCTAAATTTAAACTTTAATGTTATACAGGGAAAAAGTTGAGAAATATTAATGTCGAGGTAATATTCAACGCGAATGAACACAAAATTAAAAATTAAGAATTAAAAAAAAAAAAAAAAAAAAAGAAAGAAAGGAAACGATGCTCGGTAAATCCCTTGAGAATATTTTTCTTAAGAAGCTTTCTCCTTTCCTCGATTTATAAAATTTTGGATAAAAGGCATGTTGTATATCCTCACAGAGGCGATAGAACCTGCACAAGCTCCTACCCAATAAACGATTACATGTTCCATAAAAGAAGTTCCTAAACAACCATATTTCAATGATGTAGCCAAAGCAGGATTGAAGTAACCGCCGGAATAATTGAATGCTATAAATAAAAAAAGAAAATTATATTATTTATATTAATATAGATATATATCTATAAATTAACAAATTTAAATTAAAAATATTAAAGAGAAAATATACACGTTCGAACCTGCGACTACTAAAGAAGTTCCAATGAAAGAATCAATAATGGTACCGAAGATTGAATTCAGGTTGCTTAATCCACGAGATACTACTCTGCATATACACGTTGCTATGCATTCTATAAATGCACCGAATATAACAGGCACCTTTAATACATGAGAAGAATAATTAAAAGATTGTCACACGATATGATTCTACTTTCTATCGTACGCGTAATGCATACTCTGTAATACATACGCGTATGCATGCTCTGCATATTCTTTGTAAATTGAATTCTTATGGTAAAGTATTATAAACATTTAATAGCTGAGATAAAAATATATATGAAAAATAATATAATAATATTATAAAATAATATAATAATAGTATAATACATTATTATTTTATTATTATTATATTATTTTTCATATAACAGTATAATAATAATAATAATAATAATAATAATAATAATAATAATAATAATAATAATAATAATAATACATAATATAATATTATTATATATTATTATTTTTTCACTGTGTTTCCTATACATGTATATATATATATATTTTTTTTTTAATATAATAATTATTTTTAATTATACAAATGTTTTTCAATTTTTTTTTCTTTTGGTTTATACCTGCAAATCCGTGGTGCAATCTTCAAAAGCTTTATTTTTGTGAGTAGGTACGATCTCTAACGCCCACAACAATTGTATATATCTAAATACAACGAGACCACCAATAAGTTCTGCCCATATCAAGAGAAAGGCTGTGCGTAAAGATTTATTTCCTTCGACTGCTTCTTCGATATGCGTATAAGGACAGGCACTGGCATCGCCCCAATTTAAACTCCACCAAATCGTTAAAACAAATAAATATATCGCATACATGGATACTCCCCAATTATCTGCAACTATAACGGAAATCTATTTTTATTATGTGTACGCGAGCGCGCGCGTGCATATTATTTCTTTAAATTAAAAATTTAATTTAGAAAAAAAAGCTCTTTTTCTTTTTCCTTTTTTTTTTTTAATTAAAAAAAATAGGTTTCTTACTTATAATCAATTCAAAACAGGCACCGCATAATTCAGCTGTTGCTATTCCCTCGAGAAACAATGCTTGTATCAAAGGTTCCTTTATGTAATAATTGACATATCTTCTCATCCAATATGCGATTAAACTCGTCAATATAATGTAACACGTGGATACAACTAAAGCGACGATATTTTCAACCATGATAATGGATTATTACAAAATAAAAAATAAATAAATAAATAAAAATAAAAAAAAAACAAACAAAAGAAAAAACGAAACAAAAAAAGTAAAAATAAATAAGAGGAAATCAAAATCTGCAAATATAATTAATAATTAGAAACTATTAATTATAAGATAGGATATATTACGCGTATGTAAATGATATGCAATTATTAACACATTGACAAGCTATGTAATTTTGCATAAATTAATGCATATATATAAATATTTTTTTTCTTTACATTAGAATTTATTATTATTAAAAAGTAATAATTTTTAATTTTACAACTGCAATATAAATAAGCAAAAATTCAATGCCGATCATCGATGATTATTACATCGCATTCAATGTGTTAATGTAAAAAAAAAAAAAAAAGAAAAGATTATAAAAAAAGTTTACATACTTTTTCAAGGGAATAATATCGAACGAGTTCCCTCTTCTGTTTAAATACACGTCCGACTATTACAGATGATAGTGTTACAATGAAGAACTCGAATAAAAATTAAATATAACACACATTAGAAATCGGGATGTAATAATTTAAATATCTTTTTCATCTAATTTTCATTTTTTCAATGTCTTCTAACAATTATTCTTTTATATTCTAGAACACATACAACGTCAAGGGCATTATTATATTATGCAATGTATGTTATTTAGCTTCGAATAATGGTTTCAAGTTTCTCTGTATCTATTTTTCAAATTAGACGACGATCAGCTTAACTCACACGATAATAATCACCAATAAGTATCACAGTATGTCACAATATATGATAGATCATGGAAAAAGGTCAACACTTCATTACATTGATTACGATTTAATTAATTTTTTCAAGCAACACTCATATTTTATCATTTAATAATCCTTCTCGATGTGCGCACACTGCACAGAATAAGATTTAACTTGAACAAGCTATTTAAAGCGAGCAAGTAGTGACCTTAAATATTTTCTAGTTATCCGAATTTACCCGAATTATTTAATCATAGAACAGTGTAGCACAATGTTTCACAATCTTTTTACCCGATATATTTGTTTCTAATGATATCGCGATCCAAATGTTTATAATACAGAGTTTTTAGAAAAAAAAACCTGATAGATTGGAATTTATTGTATATTATTTTAAACATACGTTTTATGCTTTTAAATATAAACATAATATCGTCAACGTTTAATAATATTTTAAGATAATTATCTAATAAATTTCCTAAAAATTAATTATTTTTATTGCTTTAGCATAAGATAATAGCTATCATTTCCCATTAAAAATATTAATGCGACCCTAGCATATTGAGATACTATCATTTTAGTATATATCTAAACCATCTTTCCACAGTTTTATTTCTAAAAATCATCTCGAATATTTTTATTCTTATTTGTTATATAGTTTTAATCGGATATATGTATATTGAATTTAAAAAATAAAAAATGTCAAGTAGACAATATTACGTCAAGTACACAATATCAAACATCGACGAAAGAGAAGTATAAATGAAAATAAATAATTTAATCGGTAAATTATATTGAAAAAAATTATTTAATATTATATATTAAATATTATATATTAAATAATTTTTATATAATAAATAATATTATTTATTATTTAATATATATATATATATGTGTGTAATAATAATTGTATTAATTTGATTTTTCTTTTTAGGTTTGGACTTAATGGTTTTATTCATCTTACGAATTATTAACTACATACTTTGTTACATAGGTAAATGATTTCATGTGTTTTTTTTTTATGAATGTAGAGACTAAAGTATTTTTATCGTTATAAAAAAGAAAGTAACATTTATTTACAAGGTTCAAAAGAACTCTCCTTTATGCTTTTTAGCGGCCTGAGAATCATCTTGAGCGTCTGTTCTTAGCATTAACCTAGGAATCCGTTTGGATTTTAAATAGGATATTATCTCACTCGGCGATCTATAATAAAATAATATCGTGCGTTAAGTGTAAATGATAATTATAATATTATATATTTATATCTATATATATATATATGATTAATTCCAATAATTTAAAACATTTTATTGGATACCTCGTGTGAATTTTTGAATCAATTAACATTTCCGTCGAATTGGTAGTATCAGTCGAGCTAGAAGAACTTGTACATGGTGAAAAAGGAATGATCTGATAGGTAGTTTTATTTGCTACCTCGTTACTTGATTCTGCGTTTTCTGCTTGAGCTGATACCGTGTTATTAGCCGCGCGGGGCGTTGTTTCTGTCTCTGATATAGGCTTTTTTTTTACTTCTAAATCTGTCTTCACCGGTTTTATTTCAACATGATTTTCAGCTTTTGGTTTCAACTTTCCATCGTGCGTAGGAAAGATAACAACAGGCAATGTAATATTTTTATCGCCTTTCGTAGCGTTCATTAATTTAGTTAATAACTTTGATATTTCCTCGCGTTTTCTTGTAACAATTATTTCTTCAAACCAATTTTTTAATGTTTTTATCGGTAATGTATAATCTTTAATAGGATCCTAGATTTAAAATTTTTAATTTAATAAAATCTTTGATAATTAATATATATAAGTATATACCTTAAAATAATATAGGTACATACTTAAAATAAACTATAAGTATATACCTTAAAGAAGCTCTCCACGTATTGTAATACATATAGGCCGCAATCAGTAAAATTTGATTGTTGAGGAACTTTCGGAGATGCTCCCTTAATAGTATCTTTTGAAAATGTCTTTTCAATTCCCATTTTAGCAACATGTTCGCAACTTAAATAATCTCTTAATGTAGCAACAACACGACATCTACTAGCACCCGCAAGAGAATCAAATATCAATATGCAGGGACTAAAAAAGAAATATAAATATTCTCAATATCATTTTTTTCGTAATTATCTCCTAATTTTTTTTTAGTTGAAAATATACGATTGTGTTGTTTCAACTTGTTGTTATACTTACACTTTTACAGAATTTATATTTTGTATAGCATGATCTGTTTCTTGGCTTTTATTGTTCTCCTGTTCTTCAGTTTCATCCTAAAGTTAAAAAAAAAAAATATATATATATGTATTTATATATATTAACATGTACCTCTATATACTGTCTAGTTAAAAAAAATGATTAATTATTTCTTACTTCATCATCACTATCCATTTCCATTTCTTCATCGTCACCTTCTGCTTCATCTCTTTCCGAGCCATCGTCTCCTTGATCTATTGTTATCGTAGTTGTTACTGGAGTTATCGTAGTTGTTCCAATTGTCACAGCTTGAATTTTAAGATCCTTCATTTTTTTACTCTTCTGAACAGTTTTATGAACATCTTCTTCTTTAGTAGTCTTAGGATTTATAGAAACTTTCCCCACTAATCCAGGGAAACAAATAATCGCCAAAAACCAATGAGCACTATAAATATAAAAACATTATACATTATTAATGTTAATAATATACATAAAGTATATAAACATTTAATATATGCAAACTTACTGTTCATTGATAGGAATCACTATAAAATCCTTTTCAAATATATTAACATTTTTAGTCCATTTCTGCACTCTTGCATGTCTTTTAGCAGCTGCAGAAAGAGGAATTGCACTTTCACCAGCTTGAGCATGAGGACTTGTTAAGCGTTTATAAAAGTATGAACTAAATACATGTGTTCTATGTTGATCTGTTTCTGATAACACTTCCAATGTTAAATACTTCAAATAAAAATCAATAATAACATCATTTAAAAACTGATCCTCCCCAAGACATAAGTAATCCTCAGTATTTATGGCTATACCACCTTTTGCAGGAGGTGGTGGATATACTGTTATTCTGTAAAGTAAAATAGATTAGAAATATATAAATATGAAGTATGAAAAAACATACATAGTAGTATATATGTATGCTAATTTTGTTAAAATCAAATAGTTTCTTACGTTTGTATTCCACCGTTTACAGTAGATACATTTGAAAGTGATGTTTGACTGTACCTTCTAGTAAGACCTTGAACTAATGAATTCTGTAAGGAAAAAAGTGAAATAAATATTAAACAGAGAAATATAAATTTTATATAATCATATATAATAAAATATGACTTATTTTATTTAATTATATGTACATAATAATATATCACTTAATTATATTGAAAAATATCACATACATCTTTCGGTGATGCTCGCACTAAAATATCATTTGCTTCTTTTGGATTTAATTCTTCGAACAAGCCTTTTTTTACCATGAATATATTTTTTAATGCGACTTTTGATTCGTCCGATATCTTTTCCGGCAGTAAAGTAATCCGTCTATGTGTATGATCTGTACAGTAAAAAAATATTTTACGGAGAGATCAGATCTTTATAAAATAATATATATATGTAAAATTTAAATACTACTTACCTTTACCAGCTGGATCATAATATGGCCCTTTTGGATCTTGCATTCCTAATAATTCGCGAATCATTGCACCTGTACTTGTAGTCGTATAAAAGAAAATAACTGGCATAGATTTTCCAAAATGTACCAGAACCTTTACTAAATCTTGTATTTTAACGTCCAATGTAACAAAACTTGTATCTGTAATATAAAATAATACAAAAACATAAAATTATAAATACATGATAATAAATTTTTCAATGAAGAGAATATATATCACCATATATTTATTTAATCCTTACCATCTTCTAATAAAGGTATTCCAAATCTTATTCCACTTGGAGATATTAGTACTTTCTCTGGTGGGATATATTTATATGATCCTATTCTGACTGTCCGACACAAAATAGCAGCATGTATATTTTGTATAGAACTATCTGTAAAATTCTGATCTTCACATCTTATACTTCCGCCTATAAAAAGCAATTGTAATAGTACAGTAAATATATACTGGAATAAATTTTATAAAAATATATATCTTGATGAAAAAAATTAATCATCAATATTATTACCTTCAGTACATTCTTCGTTGCTTGGTGAAAAATCAATATTTGTGCTAGAAACAGAGTTGTTTGTAATTACTGGTTCTTTATCAAGGATTGTCTCCATTTCTTCGGTAAAATTATTACTTGCGTTACTTGAAACTGCACTAGTGTTAACACCATCTACTTTTCTAGTTTTCCCCTCTTCATCCTCATCTGATGATATAGTTAAACATTCTGAGGGGAAAAAAAAAGATAATTAATATATGGACAATATATTTTATTTTTATTCTTTAATATTGTTAAAGTACGACACAGATTCTAAAAAATACCTGGTTCTTTGTTAATAAGTTTCGTCCTCGATGTGAAACCTCTTCCTCTTCCTCTACCACGTTTATAAGCAGATCCATCGCGTTCTAATTTCTCCAATTTTGCTGAAGAATTTCGTTCATTGTTTTTCTTATAAAACGTCTGTAAAAATATAACATTAGAATATATTTAAGACACATAAAGAAATACTTGTATTAAAAATGACAAAAAAAAAGAAAAAAATCTGGAATATGAGATAATAACAAAATGATCATAGAAGAAATCTGCTATAGATATCACCTGAAACTTCAACGCACAGAAAATTTCTAGGTTTAAAATTATATTAATAAATTTAGTACCTTAAAAATTATGCTATATATATATATATATATATATGTGCAAAATTTCTTCATTTAGTAATACTAAATAAGCATGTACAATTTAAATAATATGAATTCTTTAAACATTCATCTGTCACTCAATCACTATATTTTATAACAATTTTTTAATATTAAGTACAATGCACTATACTGGTCTTCAAGCATTCCAGTCATGATCCTTACATTGACAGACAGCATGTTCTCCTTCTTTTCTTGTATACCCACAGTCATAGGTATCGTCTTCACATCCTCTGGTAATTTTTTCAAACATCGTTGACATCGGTTGAAGTCTAATGAGCTAATACCACAGTTTGGACACAGTGCAAGCTTTCCCTCGATGTATATAGCCTCCTAATTCCATAGAAAATGTGTTATAGCTTTTGCCATAACTTATTTAATATAATAATGTTGTATGTGTCAAATTGACCAATTATTATTTTTATATACATTAATATCGTATTATAATATAAAAAATTATTGCCCAAATCTAAATTCTATATCATTTTAACTGGTAACTATTTTTCATATTACACAGTTATTTTTTGTAGATTATTAACAGTGTAAAATAACACAATATTGGTACTGCTAATATATATATATATCCAGAATAGAATTTTTGTATATACTGATTATCCTTAAAATTAATAAACAAACCTTGAAATATAGAACACATTATATATAGCAAATATTAATAAATATTGTATATTATTCATTTGTCATTAATATTTCATGAATAAATTAATTCTTTTTATATAAAATAAAGACCTGAAAAATCATTATATCTGATACATATTACATAATGTTATCACTATTAATCACTGTTAATTAACACATGAGATACTAACACTTTACGGTCCATCGATGATACTGTATCATCGCGATTTGATAACGTAGACTTTATCAATATACAAATGCATTTTTGATTGTACGTATCTGTTAATGTTAAAAACATAAATGTAGAACGTCGATTAGCAACACTAAAGAAATTCTCAACAAAATAATTTGGACACAGTTTAGAATTAGAAATTGATGCTATATACATATGCTATATACATATGGATGCTATACTTGAATTGGGAAAAAGTAGAAAAATTAATTACTAAATATATATTCCAATGAAAAAAAAAAATATTTAAATATAATATTTAAAATGTTCTCTACAATCTGTTGAAATTATCAATATTATCGCAAGTATCGCCGATACCGCAAAGTGTTAATATTATTAAATATGATGAAGTATTCTACTCTATTTAATTCTTCTAAATCTTCATATATTTTCAAGGGGAGGAAGAAAAAAAAAAGAGGAGAAAAAAAAGGAGAAAAAAGAGGAGAAAAAAGAAACTTCAAATTATAGTATATTATAAAGAAATAATAAAACAAACAAAAAAATAAATATATACTCAAATGACATACATTCCAAATGTAATACTTTTATAAATATACATTTAGAACGTAGTATGTCACAAATAATTATAATTAATTATTTTTTATAAGAAACATTTTGAATTAATTTATAAAATTAATTTTATTATTAATTAAAAAATAAATCTTAATGTTTCCATATAAAATTGTAATTTTTGCTTACCTCATTCTGACATATAGGATTGCTATTTTCATCAGGTGAACTAAAACACATTAATTTATTACATCTGTTCATATTACAGTATGATCAAATATATTAACTACAAAGATAATTAAAAATAAACATAACTCTATGGTTTTGTAATAAAAACAACATTAAAATTCCAATATAATCTTACCTAATAGAGCGAGAAGTATTGCGTGATCCGATAGATGCACTATCCTGTGATGTGTTGCTGTCGTGCTCATGAATTTCATTCAATATGGCACTTGTACCTGGTCCTGCTTCTACAATGTAATTTATACCCAAAGTAGAATCCAAGACTAAGCATACAGCAGTCTCACCACCAAATGTAATGTTTGCCTAATAATATTCATTTTTCATAAGAAATAAAAAATTTTTAATAAAATAATTATTTTGTAATATCAATATTATTATTAATAATAATAATAATACCTGTTCCAGAAGATCTTGCACAGTACAATCATCATTAGATATATCAAATGTGATTAATCTTTGTTCACCATTAGGTAAGATTACCAACATTTTTGCAGTATTGCCTTGTATTTGACGCTGTACTATAGTAGTTGAAGGATTACCAATAACTTTTTGTAGATATGCAATGCTTTCACTTGCACCACCTTCTGAATCTGTTTGAGATGGAGAAGACTGTTGTTTTAGAATACCTCTTTCTTGTAAAATACAATCAGAATCAACATCCGAATTTGTTTGCATATTGTGCGAATGTGAGGAAAGTTGAGATTGTAACTGATGTAGATTTTTTTGTTCTATAGTACCAACTGACGATTGTTTCTGTAATTGTTGAAACTGTGTTGTAATATTTTGTAACTGCTTTTGTTGTATTACATTTGCTACTTGTTGATGTTGTAATGAATTAGTTGCAATATTTTGTACAGGCTTTTGTGACATATTGGATACTTGATTCTTTCTCATATTTTGTTGCGAACGTTGGTCGTTTTGCAACTGTCGTAATTTTGCTTGTTTTATCCTTTGACTTAAATGTTCCATTTCTGGATGTTGTAATCTCAATGGATTTTTAGACATCTGAGTAGGAACTGTAGGTCGTGTTGGAGATACTTGAATAAAAGAAGTACGAACTTGTCGCGTAAGTGTTGTAGTTACATTCTGTCCACTTGTATTAACTGTTTTATTATGGAATGAAGGAGAAGTTACTTTAACGTTTGGTACATAATAACGTTGTTGTATTCGATTTGATGCAGTATCTGTTAAGTTTAAACCATCAGAAGGAATGGATGGAGAAACTGTTTGTATATTATTTGCCGAAAATCGATTTTTATTTTGATATAGTTTAACTGACTTCTTTTCTGCAGATTCAGGAGTATAAACCTGCGGTTCAGTATTTCCATGTAGAGTTAACTGAAAAGACATATTATTAAAATTAAAAATTACAAACATATAACTAATGTATGCAAAACTACAAGATCACTTACAGGTATAGTTATATTATTTTGTGGCTGGCTCTTATTTAAAATAGCAGTTTGACTCTTTTCTGGTAAAAGAGTATTTTGTTTTGAAACTGCATCTACATTAATACTATTTTCTTGCATCTTCACCCATTGTATCTGTTGATTATCATTATTACATTCCACTGATGGTTTAATGGCTACAAATTTAATTCACTATATTAATTTTTAATAATAATAATAATAATAATAATAATAATAATAATAATAAAAACAAAAAAAAAAACAAAAAAATAAAAAAAAACAAAAAAACAAAAATGAAAAAATCTTTATTTTAACATAAATTTACAGAAATTTCAATTATAATTGATTTATAAAAACTTCGTAAATTTTATTTAATAAAAGAAAAAAAAATAAGTAAACTGATATCATGAAAATTAATTCTAATTGTGTATGTACTTTTTATATTAAAAGTAATAATATTTACCTCTCTTATCCACAACACCTACTATATTTTCTGGTGCCGTATGTACTTTAACTGTATTAGGCTTTAATATACTTTGAGATGGGGATGTTTCATTTGTTTTAATTATGAATACGTTTTGCCTAAAAAATAAATAAATAATATTAGATATTAACTTTATATTTGGATCTATGAGGAATTAGATGAACATATCAGTTTTGTACATTTTATATCAGCTTTGTCTCATGTGTCAATCTTTGAATTTTTCATAATGATATATATTTGTATATATATTTAAGACTGAAATATTATCAAATAACTTTGAGCATAAAACTGTAAGTTATAATAAATACAAAAGATGAATGTCATAAAAATGTAGATATAACAATGATATACAAGTACATAAAACTTTACAAAACACAAGATATAAATATAACATAAAAAGAATCTTTAAGATATATATTTATTTTTTTTTTATATTACAGTACATTATATGATATTATATTGACTTATATATACTAAAGGAGCTAAAGAAATATAAGGCTGACACACTAAGAGAAGGAGAGATCTATTTTTTAATTTTATAGATTCTAATTACATACTATTTTCTAACATCAACAGTTTCATAAAATTACAAGTTCATAAAAATTATACATTTCAGGTCTTCCAAAATAATATTGATGTGGATTTATAACAATTACTACTTAAATTAAAACTGTTATTTTAATAATGAAGACACAGAAGACAATGTTTAAATTAAAATGACATTAATATATTCTTTGAGGCACACGCGTACAAATATAAGAATAGACTATATCAAAGATCATAATAAATATTCTGTAAAAAATTCTGTAACAGTACACTTCTCCTAAACACAAACAATATATAATTAAAATTAATACTATATAATCCCACATAAGTTTAATATTATAAATATGTAATGGTATATTTTTTTAAATAGTATTAAATTTTTTAACTGTAAATAAAATATAGAAACCGTCATATGTTTTCTTTGATTACCATGCTATTAAACTTAAATATTATTTGATTGTAATCAATTAAACCCTAGTATTATTCTTTTTTTTTGTTGTTCTATTAATTCAATGGTATGAATAAACTAAGATTAAAATATTTTAATATTTAGATCTATACCCATCTTACAAAGCATTAAGATCAATGAAAAGAATATCATTTTACTACATTAATACTTTAAATGCATGCGCATAAGTTTACCCTTGTTCCAATTGCGGTGTGGAGATTTGACTCCCTAAGTTAATAGTTTGCTGGCAAAATATTGTTTGCTCACTGTTTTGTTGGGCACCAGTATAAGCCAAAAATTGTTGTGAACCATTACCACCATTATTTACATCCTCAACTAATTGAACATGTTGCCCTTCTACAGAGCAAATTCTCTGTACTTCCTCAAGTGTTAATGTACCACTGGCATTGGTCACAAAGTTATAATATTGTGCCATATTACACAAGATTTTACTGCTCGCAATACAATCTTTTCTCAATCAATGTAGATCAGTATTGGACTGCTGCTACTGTGCCAGAATATACCAGTCCATTAATATCATTTCTGTAGAATGTAGTTTCTAGAATGTGCACAATACGACCTATTAAACATAATTTACAATTACTCTAAAAATTTCTGATATAATATATTTATCCTATGTGGAATATATATATATATATATATATATACATATATATATATATATACATACATATATATATATATATATATATCTCATATCTCTAGGAAATAGAAGTCGAATAAAAAAAATAAAACCAAAACAAAACAAAATTGTATTAAAAATGATATAAAAAGTAGTTAAGTTCTAATAATATATTATTAATGCACGAGTTAAAAAAAAAAAAAAGAAAAAACTAAATACATTTTTTCACCCGCATATATCACTCTAATATTCAAAATTAATTATTCCAATTTTAACTTTTCATATAGTGATTACATAATAGGCATAACTTAGCACAGAAGCATATAAAAGAATGTTTTGTAATATCAAGCAGCAAAAGATTATGTATGAAATCATCATTATCATAAATTGCTTTTATTCACTGCTATTTATTTGTAAATAATATTGCTTATAATGCAATATTGCATATTTAACAATGAATATTTTTGAACTATAAATCGGACATAGTAGTCCAATTAATATAATTATGTAGTATATCGAATATATCACTATTTTGGTTATATTAATCCTCTTGCTAAACAAACAAGTGATAATTCAGAAATACTTATAAAAAGAAAAAAAAAAAAAGATAAATAAATAAATAAAAATAAAAATAAAAAAACTTCAGATCAAGTATTCTGATTGATATATAAAATGATATACAGTTAACTAATAATAAAGTTTAGTTTTCTATTAGAATTTTTGTACAACATGTGCTTCAAAGATTCAGATACCTAAAAGAATTGTCATGAAGAATAAATTTTGTACTGTGTGAGTTAGAAAATAGTTATACAATGATTCTTTCTATGCTATGGAATAAGTTTTTGTTGCAATGTACTGTATTAAAAAATCAGAATATATCTTTATAATTATATATATGTAAATACATGATCAATAATTGATTAGTCATTATATAAATATTCTGATTTTTTCCAGTTTATGTAAAATATTAAATACATATCATGTTTTAATACTTTGTGAAAATTAATGTTTCTATTTAAATGAGAATAATATATAATATTATAATAATATATTATGATCATATACATCAATTAACGTTCTACTTTTTTGTTCATAAAAAAAAAAAAGTATGAATAAAAAGTTTTAAATTGAATGGAATTTGATCTAATAAAAGTTATAAAAAAAATATATATATATAAATATATTATGCACCATCAAAAAAGTTAATTATTTAAATTTATAAATTAAGAAAAGTATCTAAATAATTATACTATCATAAAGCCTGATAAACGCATATATTTTTCTTATTTGCATAATTTTATATTAATTTTTCATATACAAAATAAAGAGATAAAAATGTATTATTTAACTTTCTTCTTATAAAAAAAAAAAATAAAAAAATAAAAAAAAATAAAAAAAAAATGTATGTTTGCGGAAAGTTCCGTAATTTAATTAGGAACAAAAAGATAACGAACGTCGGAAAGAAGAGGAAGAATATTTTCCTCGGCTAGTTCAGTTTGTCACTGTTATCTACTAAAATTGTTCTTAATACTTAATAAGAGCTGGTTAAACCTATAAACCTTGTGTCCGATTAAAATAATGATCGACGTAGGAAGTATATTTTCCAAGTCATAACCTAAAAGTCAAAGAAAAGTAGAATCGATCTTGAGAAACTCGTACGCATAACATGCGTACGATACTCAAGGGAGTTCGATCCTGTATATTACAGAGAATAAGACAAACAATTAATGGGGAAGTATGAAAATTTTAAAGAATTTTAATCTAATGTGTATATGATCATGATATGTAAAAAGAAAAGAACAATCAATTCTTTTCATAACCTTATCGCTAAAATGTAACATTATAGACGATAAAAATATTAGAAAATAACAACTGGGAAGATTATAGATAAGCATATTATTCAATGTATTGACATTATTGATATTAACTAAGAATAAGAAGAATAACTCGTATGGATTTGATGAATCGGTAGATGAACGCGTATTATCATCAATGCACACGCATTAAAATATTTATTTATAAACGTTTTATAATAATACTCACGAATGTCCGTATACGACGATTATGGTGCACTATTTTTATTAAGCTACTAATAATTAATATATTTAATTTGTTTCAAAGTTTTCTCGTTATATTCCACGTAAGTAAATAACAACTGCACCTCGCCATTTTACGAGCCCGTTTGTGTGAACGAATTGCAAAGCAACAGACAGGCCGCAAAAGATTACGCCACTGCGTCACGAAACCTGCTTGTTTCCGGCTTGATACTCTTGAAATTGGCTATAGCGGGAAATCCTCGAAATTTCAAATTTTACACATAACCTTTCTTAACGTAGTATAAATATTATAATTTTAACTTTATGTACTTTATCTGATAAATAAATATACAATACTAACTTTAATTCTATCAATTGAAGTAAAAACATATATTTCCTATAAATATCTGTCAACAAATAATAACTTAGAAATGCGATAAAGAGATCATTGTTGTGTGACAAAGCAAAATTAATTACGTTCTATTAAAGGAAAATGGATGAATAAAAATTCTAAAAATATTAATTAAATTTCAGAAAAAAGCGTTAATGAATTATGTTAATTTCTTTCTTAATAAAGTTATGTTAATTTCTTTTTTTTTTCTTTTCTTTTCATTTTTTCAAGATTTAATTATACATTAAACATCTGTAACATGTTCTGAGAAATTTTCCTGACATTCTTTCGTGTACTATGAAGTTGTACGAGTGGTACAAACGACCTTTCGAAGTATCGAAAAGTTTTAAACGAATTGGAATGTCCTCAAGGATTTTTAATGGTATTTAATAAAATGTGATTATTTCAAATCAGTCGGAATATAAATCTTTGAAGGAAAGATTGCTATAATATGAATTCAAAAAGGAATCGTGATTTAGAATTAGCATTAAATTTACATGACGAACTTAATATTGTTGGTGTAACAGAAAATGCAATTATTCCGAAAGACGTAAATATATTTCAAGTTTTTTTTATCTCATTAATATTAACTTTTTTATTATTATTATTTTTTTTAATCTATTATATTCCCATAATAAATTTGAATGTTTATTCGCAGAAAAATAAACATTACAAACCAAAAACGTTAATCGATCAAACATTGGAAATAATAGATCCAACTCCTAATATTTATACATTATTTATGCAATTCAATTCACGTTTTTTCTGGAATGTTTTATTATCTGTTCAGGTTAAATGGAGCAATAGAATGACAAGGTATAAATGACACTTGTTACTCTATATATCTTTTATAAATATAATTAAAAAAGATATATATTATTTACTTCACAGCTGTGCAGGAGTATGTACTTATCACCCACGAAATAAAGAATGTATAATTTCTCTTAGCGTTCCATTACTTAAACTGAGGCCAAGAAAAGATCTTGTCGAGACATTGCTGGTAATGTTCATTTTAATTAACTGGTGAAATTAAATTTCAAAAATTATAAAATAATAATAATTATTTTTATCATTTTAGCACGAAATGATTCATGGTTATTTGTTCTTGACAAATAATAATCGCGATAGAGATGGACATGGACCAGAATTTTGCAAGCATATGCATAGAATAAATAAAGAGGCAGGAACAAATATAACAGTATGTAAATGTTAACAAATAAAAAGAATTGTATAGTTTATAATGGTTACAATATCATATGTATTTTTTTTTTAGATATATCATACTTTTCACGATGAAGTTAAATTATATCAACAACATTGGTGGAGATGCAATGGTCCTTGTCATAAGAAGGCTCCATATTTTGGAACTGTACGTAGAGCTATGAATCGTGCACCAGGCCCATCAGATTTTTGGTGGATAGAACATCAACAAAGTTGTGGTGGACAGTTTATAAAAATCAAGGAACCAGAAAATTTTAAAACTAAAAATACAAAGAATAATCAAAAATCGAAAACTACATCGAAAAATATTTATAAAGAAAATAATCTAACCGATTGGTTGAAAAATAATAATAATAATCCATTCGAACAACATAAATCTGGCAATATATCTAGATCAAAAATTTCTAATCCAGGAGATGAAAAGATCAAAAATATTCATAAAAGCAATAGTCCTCTTAATCCAAAAGTAAATAATAAATCATTAGATAGCAATCTAAAGAAACTAGGTAATAATACAAATAATGTTCATGGATGGGGTGTAGGAGGACCAAACAGTTCCTCTACTTCTAAAGTAGTTAATAATAATCATACTCCTAAATATTCTTGTTCTGGGCAAATAGGAGGTTCTAAAATCGGTAAAAGCAATTTATTGGATAAATTTTATATAAAAAGTAATAATCAGCAACAAACATCATTACAACAGAAAACATCATCGTATGATAAAGCTAATACAAAAAAAAGTGTTATAAAATCTGTACAAAGAAAAACAAATGCAAGTCAAAGTGATGCTTCGAACCAGGAGATTCGTGACCCTGTAAATTGTCCTATATGTCATGTTTCTGTTTCTATTAATATTATTAACGAACATATAGATTCGTGTTTAGATAATAAAGATGAAAAAAAGTCGAACGATGTAAAAGGTCATGTTAATGATCAAATAGATACTTCATCAATAAAAGATAATATCTTTACTACTCCTAAACGAAGTAATGTAATGGATGCATCATCAACGAAACGACAAAAACTAGATAATTTACATAAATCTGAATTCACAGATTGCTCAGTATGTCATAAGAGCTTTAAGACTACAGATATTTATAACCATCTTGACATATGTTTTCCAAAACAATGTGTGTCAAATTCATCACCTAATATAATAGTTATTGATAGTTCATCAGATTCTGAATCATCTAATAGTATATTTGTTGATAGTCCTTGTATGAAGACAAATACACAATCTAATTCTAGAAAAACTAACAGCAAACACGAAGTTCAAAAATGTTTAATTTGCGACACGATTATTTCATCTACAATGTCATTGAATGATCATTTGGAAGAATGTATTGGAACAATGTTTAATGATGAATCTGTATTATGCATTGACATTAATAATGATAATCTAGAAGAAGTTCGTGCAACAGATCCCAAGAAGTACCCTTGTCCTGTGTGCATGGAATTATTTACAGAAAATATCATGAATGAACATTTAGATAGATGCCTTAAAGAAAAATAATTGTAATCTAATAAATGTAATAAATGTAATAAATATATCGAATTATCAGTGAAAATATAAAAAAGTAATATTTTGCTTAATGATGCTGTGATATTACAGAAGATCATATAATAATATCCTTAAATAAAAATACTTTTTTTAATCATAAAGCTACATATAAAAAAAATCATCAGATGCTTTTAATTTTTATTTTATAGAAACATTTTAATAGTACATATAAATTTAATCTTAAAAATATATTTAATATTGTGTGACATACAAAATAATCATCATTTTGTTTTGTACTCTAATATATTAACATACAAAATAATATTTACATTAGAACATTAAGAGCAATTTATAATATTCTTGTATTTATATAATATAAAATATTTTGTTTCATATAAATAAAATTATAAATCACTCTATAATTCTTCATAAAAATTATTAATAATAGAACTATTAACTGTGCATATACCACAACTGAATTCAGTTAAATAAGTTGGAAACAAAAGTAAAACTTGTTTTTGCGTCCATTGCATAAATAAAAGAATATTAGGAAACAATATATCAACAGATATATCACGCAATTTTATCCTGTAACATAATTAATTTCTTATTATTAAACTTTACATTGTAATCGAACAATTGAAAGTATCAATATTATTTGAAATATCAGTATTATTTTATTATAATACTTATTAACTATAATTACATACCATTTAGATCCAAATTTTTGGAACACGTGCTTTTCTAATGGTACATATGATGTAGCATTATATATATGTCCACCATTGTAATATTGAATTACCTTTATAGTACCTGTTTCATCAGTAATAAGTACATTTATTAAATTATTTTTTGTTTTAAAAGCTCTAATAGCAAATCTTGGATTATCATCGTAACATTGGCCAAGTAATAATATATTTCTATGAGAGTTAACAACAATTGTGGTATTGTAAATTGATCGTACAATATTTGGTTCTATAATACACATGCCTATTGATGGTAAAAGAATATTTAGAGTTTTATTTTAACGTGCCTGAAAAGAAAGAATATATATCATTGTTAATATATAAATATATTAAGCAACTTACTAAAAAATGAATGAAAAAGAACACTGTCCATATATCTATGGATTCGTGTTCGTATTAAAAAATTTTCTATGAAATTAGAACCATATTGTATAGTCACTTTATTTGAATTTAATTCCAGTTCACTACTGTCAGAATCTTTAGGAAAGACTGCATTTAAAAGAAATTGCCCAGAATTATTGGTATAATTATTGTTTCCACTAAATAGTTCATACACAACTCTTAACTTCCACACGATTTTTGACAGTGGCTCTGGTAACTGATAATAATATCATTACATGTAATAAATAGAGAAAGAGATATATAATTAACAACATTAATAATATATACATTATGAATAATTTAAACAAATCTATTCGTATCCACTTACATTTTCGTACTTAAGAAAAAATTGATACTTCCTTAAGATAGATAATTCCTTTGAAGCTTCATAACAAGTATCAGTGTATGGAATAAAATTTCTTCTTTTCAATTCTTTACGGCACTGATTATGAGGCGACTTTTCTCTTTGACTTTCTTCAAGTTGTGCTTTACTGACTTCACCAATCAAATTTAATATGATCGACGAACCATTACATTTACCTTTAGCAGTATCAGATGGTCCCCAAGTAAGAACTAATTTTAGTTTACAAGGAAAAGTAGGATTAACATTTAAAAAGTCCCATTCCCAGTCCATTTCTCTATCAGCTTCTATACAAAACTGAAAAGAATATATTGAAATGCATTTGTGTTATTATTATTCATATACTATTCTACATTACCTTCATAATTTTTCCATCGGGTGTAATTTTAGTTGCCTTGATTTTAAGATTGTCTGAAATCCAACCAGTAATATCATAAAGAGCAGCTAAATTCCATTGATACAAAACACGATGAGAATTAAGTTCACGATTTGTCAAAGATAACATGTGATGTTTATTATTTTTTAGATATTCAAGTTTTACCTAGCAAATAATATTTAAAATAATGTTTAAATCAATGAATTATTATTTATGAAAGATTTTATTTTATACCAACTTGAGTTTGCACTAATGCATCAGATGGTTCTACATAAATGGTTAATCCGCAGCTACCTTTCGGTGGTACATATGTAAAATAATCTAAAAGATGCACTGTCGCCAAAATTATTTTCATGCCTGGCCAAATTCTTAAATTATGCAAAACAAATATAGAACATTTATATAAATAATATAATAATCAAAATTTAATATATTAAGAAATAAAACTTACTGGTAATTAGCTTGATGGGATGATAATATATCAGATATTACTTTTTCTCTTGATATTGCATTTTCACAATCAAAAAGTTTCGTGAATATTTTTCCTCCCAATTCGGGGAATTCAAATTCAAATAAATTTATTGTCTAGATAAAAATATTTATTGAAGATTTGTATTATCTTCTATTTAAATATTAGATGTATTATAATTTGAATAAGATTTTACCTTTAATTTATTTATTGGTAATACTCTTCTAACTGTATATGATGTTGGGCAATTAGGACAAATAACTTTTAACTTTGTTTGAGTCTTAGGTCCTCTTATATGGGTAACTGTTCTTACATGAGCAACGACTCCCATTTTAAAATGTTCTAAAAATATGAATATAGTAATTATATATCTCTATATTTAAAAAGTAAAAAAGATGAATATACCTCCTGGTGTATTATATGTGATAAATGGCCTCTCATCTAATCCAATTGTAATATTAATAGGAAGATATCCATGGATAGATTGTGTTCTCTCAGCTGCATGCCACAAATCAACCAAAGGATTATAATTTTCAATTATTTCACTTCCATGAATGGATGTTCTAAGAATATACATTAAAATAAGAAATTCTTGTAAAATTTCAACATAACAAAGCCAGTATATACCTTAATATAACATGATTATTACGTCCAATATCCGAATGAATAAAATTTCCTCTCATTGAAAATAATGATGTTGCTGTCATGCTAAGTCTTACATTTGTACCCATATCCGTTACTTGCACTGATTCCATAGTTATAGGAATATTTATTCGTTGTTGATTAATATGAAATTCTGTATTTTGGAAGATTTGATATATATTATCAGATAACGAAGCTAAATCTAGAAAACAATATTCCTTGAATATAATTTATTTCTTTTATTATTTATAAAAAGAATTATTCGATATTAATAAACTATTAATTAAATATAATATACTGACATTGAACTACTTTTGCAATATTCGTTTGATTTAAATGTAAACATAAAACAGTCTTCTGTTGGACTTGTGCAATTACTTCTAAATGTATTGGAGCAGTTTCTTTCTGATCTAATTTATATTGATTCAGTATATCTTTAACGTGTGTTGGATTTTCAAGATAAGTTGATAAAGAATGTAGAAGACCTTCCGCTTTGATATACAACTATAAATAATATTTATATTATAAATAAAAATAAACAATAATATAAATATATATGATATTGATATATTTTTTTTAATAATAACTAGATATTATTACTTACAGATACATGATTTATAGTAGTACCACTTCCATAATTACTCAAAGTAACATACATTGCTTCTGGTACATTCGTAGCTGGATTTGCTATAAAAATTCCATGAAGCATGGCTCCAAATTTTCTATATGTATCTTTGTAGTCGAACAAATAATTACCAGTTAGTAACAATTTATTATTAGACGGTTTACGAAGTACACGTGTAAATTGTGCTGCTATACTTCCCCTAAATAAAGAAAATAATTACAACAATTATAACATAATACATAGATATTTAAAATAATTTCTACATACATATCAAGATAACAAGGATATGTTGTCTGTTCTATAGATTTTAGGGTTGTATAAAAATAATTATATAAATGCAGATTTGGTTCAGTTTTCATATACCAATATAAAGATATTAATCTGCTTGATGTTGGATTAGAAACAATTAATAATGTCAATGCAGCTACTCTCATTTCTAAATGCTCTGTCTTATTTACCAATATTGGCCAGTACACAGGATATATCTATGCATGAAAGAATGTATAATTCAACAATGAGCTTATTAATAATAAAAAAAAAAAATATATATATATATATATAAGATTTTATAGATTTTCTTACAATGTCTGGTCTTAAAGGTGCAGATGGAAGAGATGCCCAAGCTGCAAGTACACGAAAATGACGTGATTCTGCATTATTCCCACTTGCAATAGATTCTAAAAATTCAACTACCCTTCCTAATTGTATATTTGCCAAACCTTCCAACCATATCATTTTTTTTTCATACTCAGTACTTTCTAGAAAATATTTCAATATTAATGATATTATTTAGATTTAAATTAAAAGAACTTCATCAGCATACCTGTGAATTTATCAAGATAAAAACGTACATAATCATCAAGTATTTCGTATGTACAATACACAAGGCATGTTTTATAAATCAGTGTGCCATATGAAAGAATGGCTGTATTTTGAATTTCTGCAGAAATATCTCTTGCTAAACTTAGAAGTGGTCGTAAAGTTATTAATAATTGTATGTCTGGTTTCCTAACATGAAATGGTAATTGAGTTAAAAGTTGTATTGCTATTATATCTGATACTTTATGATTTTGAATTAAATCGAATATAAACAAAGCAGAGTCTTTACTTCCAATTTGTGGAAGTGCTTCCAAAAACATATTCCTACAAAAATTAAAATAATAATATTTATATTAATCTATATAAATAAAATATAAAAAAAATGCTTTTATACCGTATTGTTTCTTCTTTGTAACTAGTTCCTGAAATATTATTATATGCGATTTCTAAATCAGTACGGTCTAACATTCCAAGATAATAGAGAAGAATAGAAATAGTTGTGTTATGTAGATTATTTATTTCTGTATCTAAACCAGGAGTCTCAAGTGTTTGGCTCAAACGATCTAATAAGTTTCCTATCTGTAAAAATGTAATATTTTTGTTATAGAAATAGAAAAAAAATAATATTAAAATAAATAATAAAATAAAATAAAACTTACAACTTTAAAAATAGTATCTTTATCTAGTATTCCTCTACCTTGTGTCAAATCTTCCTCTGGAAGTTCATGTTGCAAAGTTACAGTATGTGGATTGTACAATGAAATTTGATTCACTATATCTTGTACCGTAACTAATTGAAGATTCTGCCTAAATACTCCATATAGATATTATTCTATTATTATTAAAAAATATATCTTATAGAAACAAAGAAATAATATACCTTGAAAAATAAAATTGTGCTTCACCAAAACTTTGAAATGGTTGTACATATATTCCTCCTGTTGCATTAATATATAAAATATCTTCTACAGTGTTATTATATCTTACATAATATAATCGTTCGCTGGATTTTAAAATGGGATCCTAAAGGAATTATATACATAAATAAACTTTTTAACAATTAGTAAAATAAATATATGTTAAAACCCACTTGTTCAGAATGAGGACATTGCATTCTTGGAACATTGGTCCAAAATCGAAAAGAATGACCAATACAAGTCCGTGGATCTAAAGACTTTCTAATTACTTTTTCATTATCATTCTCACTAGTTATAACATATTCTATATCGCATTGACCATAATGATTTGTCTATAAATGCATTAAAAAATTGAAAATTATCATTATCAAAAAAATGTACAATTATCTTTCCCCATTACCTTCATATTTGAATATTATAATAATAATAATTTATGAATGGTACATTATGATATTATAACAACTTACTTCAGTAGAATGGAATGCTGCTTCCTTTTCTATAGTAGAGAGATCCAGTTGTAATATTCCTACTATACTACGCTTGATATTTGTAACCCAAACAGATTCATTTTGTATAGTGAAATTTTCTACAAGTCCCATTTTATATGTGACTTCAAATGGCATTAAAAGATCTTCATCGCTTTCGTTAATATCTATATCTTCTCCTTTTTCTCCAGTTTTGCCATTCCAAATATTCATTTTCAATGATTGAAACTATTTATAAAATTCATATACATTACATTATCACATTTTTTGTTTGAAATTAAAAGTAGTATTTTAAAGTCTATAAAAGAATACCTGCATTACTGCAGCATTTTCTCTTGCTTGAATCACAAGTATTCCATTTAAACTCCATGAAGATGCAGAACTGGATGGTAATAATACACCTGAACTAGAAGTAGCATTATACAAATATCTATATTCCTTTTCTGGTGTAAATAAACCATATATTGATTGTACGTTGCATAGTAATATAAAAACAAAAATTCTTCCTAGTTTCCATGTAAGAAGACACTTAAAAAAATTGTTATCTACAAAAATAATATATACAAAAATAATATATACATGTATGCATACATATATATATATATATATATATATATATATATATAGAGAGAGAGAGAGAGAGAGAGAGAGAGAGAGAGAGAGATTGAAAATACAAATGTGTAAAATATAAAATTATATTTCATGTTATACTTTAATTAATTTTATTTGAATATTAACGTCATAATGTTTCTATAATCGTCATAAATTTAAAAATTATATATTATAATTAACAACAATACTTACTCATTAAAAAAAAAAAAAAAAAAGAATATCTAATAAATATAAAGAAAGAAAAATGAATTATACCTGTAAATTTCATGATGTATGTGATCGTAACTCAACTAAAGTGAACTGAGTTTATGGAAGTCAAAAGATGACCCTTACATCTCCTATCTCCGTGACCCACAAATACGTTGTATTAATCATTTATGTATGTACATCCCCTCAATAAATTATCTGTTATAGTATATACCGTGTATATCATATTATCTTTGTTTACGTAACTTTTATAGAATAGAAAGAAAATAAATAAAAGATGGAGATTTTTAAAAATTGATATATCTAATACTGAGAACTTTTGACGAAATATAACGTCATTTATATACCGCTTATACATTGAATATATTTATTATTGTACAATGCAAAACAGAATAAATTTCTTTTAAAATATTCGTATGATATCTTCTTCGCTCCTATTCATTATTATCGTTGAATAAAATAAGGTTAATGAAAGTAAATATTAGGTCAGTCCAAAAGTTCGTGCGCATTAATAGCATGTATGGGATTCGCGATAATTCATTACCAGATCGATAAGATTTCGAATCTGTCAAAACTTGTCATCGCTTGACTGATGTATTCGTCAGTTTGTCACCAAATTTCGTAAAGATCAGATGCATATTAGTACCGATAAAAAATGAATATCGATAACGCATATAAACGTGCTGTGTTATATTTTTTCTTTTCGAGTGGTGAAACTGCCAGATCTGCAGCAATAAAAATTAATAATGTACATGGTACACATACTATTAGTGTAAGGACTGCCCAGAAATGGTTTGAAAAATTTAAACTTGGAAAAAGCAACATTAATGATGAACCCCGTTCAGGACGTCCTGTCGATTTTGATAACGACGTTCTTAAAAATCTTGTGGAGTTAGAGCCACATTTAACAGTGGATCAGATAGCAGAAAAGATGCATTCATCTCATGGGACTGTCTTTCGCCATTTAAAGGAGATTGGAAAAGTATCCAAACTTGGAAAGTGGGTACCACACGAGCTGTCCGAAGCTAATTGTCAGCAGCGATTAAACATCTGCATTTCCCTTCTATCGCGCTTTGAAAGAGAACCATTTTTAGACCGTTTAGTAACAGGTGACGAAAAATGGATTATTTATGACAACGTCACCAGAAAAAGACAGTGGACAGACAAAGTTAAGCAATCAATTCCAACACCAAAGGAGTCTTTACATCCCAAAAAGGTTCTGCTAAGTGTGTGGTGGGATATGTATGGTGTCATTTATTATGAATTGTTAGAACCAAATAAAATCATCAATGCAGATGTATACAGTGAACAACTTTGCCGTTTAAATTCAGAATTGATTAAAAAACGCCCGCGATTGGAGAATATGAAAAAAGTGTTGTTCCACCATGATAACGCTAGACTACATACGGCTCTAACAACGTTGCAAAAAATTAATGAACTAAATTGGGAGCTTTTGCCGCATCCTGCATATTCCCCGGATATTGCCCCAAGTGATTTTCACTTATTTCGTGCCTTACAAAATTTTTGCCAAGGCAAAAAGTTCAATTCTAAACAGGATATAGAAAATGAACTCAAAAGTTTTTTTGCTTCAAAACCAGAATCTTTTTACACTAATGGAATAAAAAAACTACCAGAAAGATGGCGAGATATTGTAGATAGCGGAGGAAAATATATCATAGATTAAAATGTTAAATTGTGTTTTATTTACACCATTTAAAAATTTCGCCAAAATGCGCGCGAACTTTTGAACTGACCTGTGGATAACTTCAATGAAGATGTATTCGACATAACTAAAGGAACTCCTAAACGACTAAAGCAGGTATCTATTGATAAATAAAATGTTATATATATATTATACATCTAAAATGATTAAATGATTCATTAAATGATAATAAAATTAGCAATAATTTAAGTTAGCGGAAACCAACGAAAATACGATGTTATATCATAAAAATAGCATGGTATGTATTATGATGATTACAATGATTAATTAATGTAATACTTAAATATATATATATATATATATATATATATATATATATATATATATATATGACTTATAATTATTTTCAGTTTTGAAAAAAAGAGATATTTCGTGTTATTATTAATATATGTACATACAACCCCCCCCCTCCATTCACACACACACATACTGTATTAACATTAACATATCATACAAAGAAATTGTATATTATTGTATAGTTTTTTTTTTGTAATTCAACATTGATACATGTTTATGCTATGTAGTAATATAAGTCTTTTCTTTTTCTTTTTTTTTTCTTTTTTAATTTATTTATATATGAAAATAGATAAAGAAACATGAAAGAGAATTCATGTTTTTTTTTATTTAGCCAAGACAACTAATGGTACACACTTAATTAATCCTTTTTAAAGAACATTATTTAAGAGATATTGAATATTTACAATTTTATTTTTTAATGTGCACCGTATTATATACAATTGTAGCAAGTGTATTATTTTCATTTATCTTTTGTTTTGTGTCTAAAGATGTGTTATATAGTGCCTGAGTTACTACTATATAAAATAATATGTATTGCGCGCGATATATATATATATATATACACACATATATATATATATATACACAATACATCTAACTGTAATTGTACTACAATGTATACTATATAATATTTTCTTATTTCTAAGTGTATAAAACTATGGATGGGTAACAATTATTAATTATAAAATGTAAATAAATGATACTAAAAACATTCTATCTTATTATATTACAAAGGTTTAATTATCTTCAGGATGGATTTAGAATATTCCCAAGCTTCACTAAAACATTTAATTCAATTTTATTTTAGTACTTTTAAAATTGAAGAATCATTACCTACACACACACACATATATATATATATATATATATATATATATATATATATTATAGAAATAAAGATGAAATAAATAAATTTTGATTTGACTTACTTATGTGCTGGATTTGCTTGATCTAATTGTTCACTCAATTGTTGAATAAGAGTGGCAAACATTCTAAGATGTTCTATTGTTTCACCTTGCAACCAAGCTCGTGGTAAAGTACTCATAATCTGTATAAAAATATCATTTGTATGTTCATAATACGTTAGAAAAAATTATTGATCGATATATATATATTTGTATTTTAGATTTTATTAGATTAATATAATTACCATATTCGCTTTGAAAAGTGCATCCGGTGCAGATGAGACTCGTAATCCAGCCAAAAGATATCGATTTAATAGCGATCCCAATGCTAAATTTTTTAATTGTGCATCCCCAAGAAGACCTTGCCAACTTAATAAATTTCTTAATAACTTTACCGCCATAGCAAATTGTCGTTGAAAAAATTGATGCCTATTATCCAGTGTTCTAAAAATAACATGATATAAATAAACATTATTAGTTTAGCCTCTCCTCCAACCCGCCCCTCAAAAAAAAAAAAAAAAAAAAAAAAAAAAAAAAAAAAAAAAAAAAAAAAAAAAAAATCTATAATTCAAGATTTATTTAATTGAATTAATTCATATTTACTGTTTGGGAAAAATTGGTATAAATACATCATTTTCAACAGCAGCCTTTACTTTTTCTAATATGGCATTAAATAATGATTCTAATGGTTTGCTCGTATCATTCAAGTTTGGATAATCTCTAATAAGCCGATTTACTGTACCAACGAGACGTAATGTTTGAGAAGTAGACATCGGATCCCAAATCTTTTCCACGATGGCTGAAAATTGTAAAATTAATAAAATGTTTTAATAAAGATTTTAAATGATTATTTAATACCTTATACATCTTATTTAAGAAATACTATGTATAATTTGCTTACCTGTTAATTTAGGTATTACAACTTTTTCAACAGTAAGCGGAACTAATCTTACATCAGGATCTCGTTTTAATGAATCTTCTGTTTCTTTTTTATCTAATGCATATAATAATAATGTATTATACCACTTCGTTCTTTCTATATCAGCACTCTCCTAGTAATTAAATAAAAAATATAAATATGTGTTATTGCTAAGAAAGAATTTTTTTAGGGGCATATATTTAAACATATTAAATGAATTACCATGATAGGATTCCAGGTTATTAATTGCAATTTTATAAGAGGTGATAAAATTTTGGGTATACATAAAGATACATAAGCTTCCATATAAGCATCTATGTCAGTTTCTCTCCATAATTCCAACTTCGTTAAAATACCTCTTAGCGTACAATAATCCTCCATCACATCAGCAAATATTTCTTTTCCTTCCTTATCAATTTCCTCTAAAAATAATAAAATAAAAAAAATATATATATATAATATATGATCTTTTTTTTTTTATTTTTCAATTGAAGAATCAATAAAATATAAAGACATGTGATAATATAATGTGATAATAATTGTTTTATCTCATGAAATCATTTTTGAGGAGATGAAGGAGATAATTTGAATGTTTAAGATAAATATACAACCTTTTGCTTGCTTAAATGCAAGATTTTGTTGTTCAGTGACCTCATCATCACTGGACATGCCATCTATGTGCTTTGGTAGCGTTGGTGCTAATTCTCTAGCTCTTCTACGACGTGCTCGTCTACCTTCTCTTTCCGTAACTCGTCGAATACGTGCTTCGACTTCTGGACCTCTTCTTATTGCTTGACCTCCTATAAAATAATCATGTTATAATATTTATATGTATAAATGAAATAATTTAAATAATACAAAGAAATAGTTACAAGAAATATTTTCTAAATAATACAATAGAATATAATTATTAGTAATTCTATTATAAATGTGTTATTCGATCAATTTAATAAATAATTGTAACATTTAATAATTACTGAAATAACTGACTTGCTGCAGTTGTAATTTCTTCGGCTTGATCTCTCGTATCCTGTCTTCTTCTTTCCATTAGTTCTATTGAGCGTTCTCCGTATAGATCTAGCCAACGTTGCTCCAATCCAATAACCAAAGGCAGCTAACAAAAAATGATATATTAAATTTCGCACATTACAACAATTTAACAATGCACAAATATATATGCTCCAGAAAATATATATATATATTTTTTATAGTAACATATATTATATGAGTTTTTATTCTTCTTTTTATTTATTTATTTTTTTTATCTATAGTAATATTTCATAAATTTCTCTAGTACGCAGAAAGTATTACTTTGTCATAAGACTCTCTCCTTTTTTTTTTTTTTTT